TGTAGTCTTATCATAGTATGTATTTTACTAATGATTATACAGAATTTTGGCTAATAAGCAGATACGTGGCTAAATAATAACATTAGGTTGGAAGGTCTTGCTTTATGGTGAACTTGCCACTGGCTGCCACAAGAGAGGAGCCCCGAAGTGGAGATACAAGGACTCTCTGAAACAACATCTCAGCCTTGGCCATATTGATCACCATAACTGGTCTACTCTGGTCTCCAATCGAGAGGCCTGGAGACACACCATCTATAACGCTGCTGATGCCTTTGAGAAAGCACGCAGGGTCACTCCTGAGGAGAAAAGACAACGCAGAAAGAATCGTGTCCTGCAGAATATACAACCTAAGGGGTCTTTCTGCTGTGCCTTTTGCAACCGGACATGTCTATCTCGTATTGGCCTTTTTAGCCACCAACTCGCTTGCAACAAAGGTGGGTAGAGCCCTTCCCAAATCTTCATTTGTGAAGCCCAGCCATGATGATGAGGAGGTTGGAAGGTTCATCTAGAGGTCGACTCTGGCTCAGGGCCTGTTTTCAGGCCTTAGCACTTCACCAACCTAGTGATGCAGTGGCAAATGATACAACAGTTACAGAACCTCACTGTCTTTTGGTCACTTTTCCCTCCCTTTCTGATCACTTTTGAATCCAGCAGCAAATTTTATCCAGCTATGGCAGGCCAATTGGGCCTCAAAGATATGTTCTTATAGTTTCCTTGAAAAGAAGCAAAAGTTTTAGCAGAGAAAAATGATCTCTCAACCCTTAGGAAGAAAAAGGCTTAAACATGAGTTCAGTATTTATCAGAAAGGGAATCAACACGAGGTACCAACCTCAGTGGACAAAGTTGCAGAAAAACAGGTTTTGCTAATTCAGTTATTCAGGAAACCATTCGTTTAAAGCAGAAACTCCATGTTTCTGCGAACAGGGAAAATAGATCTTCCCCAGTCTGCTTTTCCTAACTGCATTTAAGTGGAGTACACTACAGTATTCTACATCTGACCTCAGACAGCTAGTTTCATCTTCTGTCATGATTAATAATAGCAGTGGCAGGGTGTGGAAATACCCACAGATAAATATTCAGGTTAAACACATTAAACAAACCCCTCTCACCCAGGAAGACCATTTGCAGAAGAGATGTGTTTTGGGGAGCACCATGTGAAGGAAAGCCAGGAACACCACCATCATCATCCCACAGCACTGCAGCACATCACACTACGCATACTCCCCACAATGCTCCAGCAACCTCAGAGGACACACAGACCTGGATGAGGGTGACAGAACCATCCTTTTCACCATATAATAAAAAAAGGAGACCATGGGGACAGTACTGCAAGCTCCCTTCTCAACATGAAGATGCAAACAGGCAGTGCCAGAGAGGCAGGCAGCCCAGAGGGCACAGGGGCCTCCCTCCCTTGTCCCAAAAGCTATGGGCCCCAGAAGTCATGAGGTCAGTCTTATAAATATAGATGTGCCTTTTTTTCCCTCCCTCTTTAAAAAAAAAAATCATAATTAGAGGTCTGGGTACAAAATTAAAATCTGATACTCTAACTTGTGGCACATCTCACTGTATTTACTACATGATATGATTTCTAAGTGCAGAAGAGTATTAAGGACATCAGTCAAGATTTAACAGATCTACAAAAATAGCTTCATGAGCTTTAATAGCTACCAGTTCTAATTGAAAAATCCATCTTCTTGAACAACCCAGCTACAACACACTGTCCCCCCAAAATGAATGTTAACGATCTCAATTACATTTATTTAACTCTGGAAAAAACATATTCATTGTAATAAAGATTTTCTGCAACAGCTGCTTTCTTTAACCATGATCTCAACTTCATTCTCCTGAGAATAACTACTGAAGAAAAGCCAAATGTAAAATCCTGTTTCCTGTCAATTGAAGCAGATGTTTTTATGTAATCAAAGCATTGTGGAGGCCCAAGCCAAACTGTATTCTCACTGCATTCTCAAAATAGGTCTACCAATGAAACAGTAGCAAAAGAAACATTAAGTAAGCTTATTAGAGCTCAGAAACCTAAAAATCACAACTGTCTTCAAAACAAGATTGTACATCGCCCAATAAAAAACAACGGCAGAAATTAAAGTTTATAAATGGCCAAGTTCCTTCAAAGAAAGTTCCCAGGGTCTATTTGGCAATGATATTTTAAATTTGGCAAGATTATTTTAAATAATTTTTGACTGCAAAATCAGCATAACCAAAGTACACCGAAGTCTGGCAGCTTGCTGCTATATCCTTTAACAGGATATCAACAGGAATCTGGGCTGCAAAACCTGAATGCATTTATTCTGACAGGCACCTTCAACTAGATAGTTACCACAGTTTGACCCAAAACTAAAAGTACTAACCACTCACTGTCTTCTCTTCATCAGGAAAATTTGCTGGTATACGAATGGAGCAAAAACACATAGCCAAGTCATGTTAACTCACAACAAAACTCTGATATCAGCTACAGACATCCACCTACGATAACTATACTTAAACAGCTCAGAAAGACAATGCCAAAGTTCTCAGGCAGTTCTAGGAAAGCAGATTCACAGAAAGAGAGAGGCATACACAAGGTGTATAAAGGGCAAAAATACTTCTCACAAAAGATCCTCACACTACAGGATATCAAACCCATTAAACTAGTATATTTTAGAAAAAAAGCAGGGACCCAACATCAGTGTTGTTTTTCAGAACTTGTATAAAGTTCTATCTTTTCTCAAGCAATTCTCCTCTGTTTCTAGAGACAGAGTTAACGTCATCTTTAGGGGAACACTGAAGGAGAGGCCAAATTCCTTCTTGATTTTCCAGCTTCATTAACAGTACCCACAAAACACTTGAGAGAGCTTGGTTGAGACAGAAAGAAGAACTTCTATTCCTTTTGGTTTTCTTGTGTATTAATCATGTAAAACAAACATCCCCTTATCAAGGTTGGAATAAATCAAGTAACAAAAGCAAAGACCATTTTTCATTTTTAAAATGTAATACTGCATGCTATTGAAACATAGTTTATGCCGTTTATCACCTTAGCCTATAAAAAGGTTCTCTACACTATGTTTGCTGGTGAAACTCCAGTAATATGCCATATTTACCATAGGTAAGTCTACATCAATAGTAAATGTTTTTTTTTTTTTAGAATACATCTTCCCAGGGATTTTTGGCACTGACTGCATCCACTTCAGGGCTTTTGCCTTGTCTGCAACAACATTAAGGAGTTCAGTTTATTTACTGGCTCCAAAGTGACACATCAGTGCCAATAAAACACATTACTACCAGAGATTACTGTGTGGGGTAGGGACAGAGGCTTTAAGAATGTCACAGAGTTCGGTCACAGTAAAGCTATGCCATTCCCCACTGAGCATGACAACAGTTTCATCCTCTTGGTATTAAATTACTTCTCCAGGAGCTACATCAAAAAAAGCAATGAAAACGCAACAGCCGTGAACCACTGCAGTAACATTACCTACTAATAGCACTTCACTGAGCTGCTCCACAACTTGTTTCACATGCTGCCAAAATGGATGTGAAACAGCAGGCAGGGAGGCCCCTGCTTCAAGAGGAATATTAGCAAGTAAAGTTACTACTCTGCCCCACAACCACCCAGTGCTGTTTGGAGAGGCATGGGGCAGGTCCCAGAGAACATGCAATTGAAAACAAGCTAAGTACTCCTACCATCCCACTGAAGATTGAAAGAACCATAGACAGACAACCAAATCTAGCTTGGGATTTCAACCTTCAGGAAAGATTTAAGATTTTTTTTTCCAGGTGGTTCATACAGAACCAAGAGAATGATCAGATGCTGAGGGTGGGCAGGGTGAGCAAAGCAATAGCAATATCAATAGAATTAGGTGTTTAAATACGTAAAACAACAGGAATAAGTTCACTGGTTAGTCTGTTGCAGACAGGAAAAGTGATAATGAGTTTCTATTGAAGAAAAGGAAATTTGGGAAAATGAAGCACAAATAAAGTACCTGGAGAAGATGTTTAACATCACACCAGAGAGACACTGTTAGAAACAGGAGTCCTTCCCTTGGGTGCAACCAAGGATGAGATGTGGAAAGGGCCTCACAATCACCCATCTCCTCCAAGCCATGGTCCTTTGTCCATGGAACTAATTTAAGTAGGAAAACAGGTGCACTGTGGTAACATATGGAGCACTGAACCCCCACCCCACGGATGCTGACCAGTGTAGGTCCTGCCCTGCCCTCCATCACCACTTGCTGTCATCTCTCACTTCCTCTGCCAGCACCTGAACATGCTGAATCTTTTCACAAGCCAAATTTAAAGGAGTTTGTGAAAGGGTTTGAGGACTGCCAGGAAGCCTGGGGCTAGGAGAGAACTTAAGACCATTCCAATCCTTATGGGGTTTCATCTCCCCACCACGTGGAACCAGTGACAATTACCCAACCGACTCTCGTAGGTCTAAGCGATCTGTCGCCCCTTTAGAAATTCCTCCTTGCCGCGCAGGGCTTTGGGAATGTCCCTTTCCATGTCGGCGCCTCCACCCGCATGCCGCTGCCCTGGTGCGGACGCCGGCGAGCCCAGTGGCTCCCGGCTGCCCGCCCACACCTCGGGGGGACGTGCTGCGTCCAGCTTCTCTTCCGAAATACGAGGCGAATTCACCCAGGGAAACAGATGAAACGCCACTTGGAGCACTTGGCGAGCCTGGACGGGCACCCGCGCTCGCAGCCAGGGCTGCTGTTCCCCTCCCGCGCCAATGGCCCCCGGCAGCCCTGCTCGCAGGGTGGCTGCGGGGACCGCCGAGAGCCGCGGCCCGGGGGCAGCGCAGGGACGGACCCCCAGCCCTTCCCCGCCCCGACTCTCTGGGTGAGCGGCCAGCCCTCGGGCCCCGCCGGGCACTGACCCGGGTCCTCGGGCCGCGCCAGGGTCGCGGAACCCGCGGGCGGGCCCGCAGCGCTGTTCCCCGCGGGATGCCTGCCCTCGCTGAGCCCCCCGCCCCGCACACCTGCCGGGCTCCCCGCGCCCCCAGCCCCTACCTGGCCGGCGCAGCAGCGGGCGGACATGCTGGCGGTGCGGGGTGACCCAGCTCCCTCGCTGCTCCCGCATGCGGAAGGGGCACGGCTGGGATGTCCTGTCCTGGGCTGGGCAGCCGAGCGCGGGGAGCCGCAGGCGGGGCGGCACCGCCTCTGCCCGGCCCGGCACCGCCTCTGCCCGGCCCGGCTCCGCCGCGCGGCTTCCGCTGTCGTCAGCCCGTGTGTGAGCTCCGCTGCCCCGCTCCCCGGGCCGGCAGGGGTGGTGGCAGCGGCGACATGTGAGGTGGGTACCTGCACGGCCACCCTCGGCAGGCTGCCCGGCTCCCAACGACACTGCCGGGATCACCTGCCTGCTCATATAACACCTGGTTCTGGGTAGCTGGAATTTAATAAATTCAGTGAACGAGGCATTTGAATATGAGGATCTTAAAAGACCAAGCATCAAATTGAAGTTTAACGCCGTGGTGCACTAACCCCGGATTCGAACTGCTGTGCTGCATCCCACTGCCCGCGCCTGCGTGGAAAAGCCATGTTTCCTCAGTGGACAGCTGGAAGGCCGTGCTTTCTTAACAGGAGCCGAGACCTTTCCCAATGCTTCAGAAACACCTTTTCCAGCATCAGTCGCCTCTAACCATGTGCAGTACTAAGCAAGAGCTTAGGATTTCCCAACGTCCAATGTGACAACAGGAATTTACAAAGCTAAATTCCGATGGGAATTACTATTGCAAAGCCACCGATGAAGCAAGGAAGGTCTCCGTGGAAAGACTCCCTCACCTTGTCCACTTTGTGTCCTCTGTGTGTCTAATGCATTCTAAAAGATAACTATTTTAAACTTTGTTTCTAGTCTTAACTGCCCCTACTTAAGGAATTCAGTGCAAGTAAAAGCTATTAACCTGCATATGAGTACATATATATAGATAATTAGCAACACCTACCAAGGAAACGGAGGGATTGCAGGATATAAATCCCCTTCCTCTTTCCTCATGTGTGGAAAGGTGATGCCCTACCAAGTGGATCATATGATGAGTCAGCATTTCACAATTTGGTATGATACTGGGGACCGAAGAGACCAGTTACCACAGGGGTACAGTTAATAAGAAACAGACAATGTGCTTTGTTTTTAATGGTGCTCTAACAGCTGCATATACTCCGTTAGAGACAGGGTATTTACCACTCTCATCAGATTAATTCTGTCAACCAGATGGTTACTAAGCTGCAAAGGACACCAGTTTGCAGGTATCCAAGAGGACCCCAGCACAGTTCAAGCACTGATGTGGCTGATGCTCCTGCTTCGTAGGAGGAGCAAAAACCCCAGCCTCAGGTAAGGACTCCTCAAATCAGGAGTGGGGCTGGACGCTCAGCACACCTTTTCCTTTCCCCAGAGGCAGGCTTAGAGATAGGCTTAAGAACTGAACAACAGACAGGAAAGTAGTGTGGCCAGCCAACAGGCAAGGGGAAACCACTCGTGTTTTTAACTTTGAATCACAGTCAGCTTCCTGAAGCATGTGGTTAAGACGTGGGAACACATGGATCACAGCACAGTGCGAATTCAGCAGAACTGCAATCATCTTGTATTTCTGTTCCAGACTTCTTATACAATTGCAAGAAGCTGACTAGTCAGGCTTTGCTTAATTTCCACATAAGCAAAAGCAACTGAAAACGTGAAGGAGCATCTGAGGTTTAATTTAAAAATGAAACTGTTTTGCAAAGAGAGACTAGTGCAGGTGACATACGGGCATGGTGCAAGAACATGAGTGGCTGTACCATACGTCAGCATGTCTGTGATAGCAACAAGCACTCACTGGGTGGGGAATGTCATTAATTCACTGCTCTGTGCAGGTCTGTTAATGCCAGCCAGCACTGCTATCACAAATAAATCTAGCTTCTGCACTAAAGAAAACAGCAGAGCTCTGTAATGGACTTTCCAATCAGTGAGAGCACCTCAGAGCCTTGGGATGTGTGCCTTGGCTCTTTGGATGAAAAATTCGTCACCAGAAAGGCTTGAACTTCCCTGCTGTGTTGCTGGCAAACATTACACAGGCTAATAGCAAAGCAATGTGCAGATGTTACTGCATGAAAAGAACTGTCACTCCAAAACTATCCATGCATTTAGAGTAAGGTTTATCCATCAAACACACATTCTGAAATCAGAGAAGGCTAATCTGATTTACTGACCTGAAATCTTCAACCAGTAATTCCTGCCTTCAAGTGTTCTTTTTGGCAGGAGGCCTCTTCAAAGAGATGCTAATTCTGATTTAGTGCTTTCAAGTGACAGGGAATTCACATCATCAGTAGGAAAAAGCAAGATGATTTGGCCTTGCTTTGCATAAGTCTCACTCTGTAAGTTAGACTTACAGAGGTTTAATAAGTCAGGTAGAATAGGGACATGGAATGTTGCCACAGGAAGTAAAACAGCCAAGGAGCACCCAGGGATGGAGTTAAAACTCTGGTCTCAGTTCAAATGCCAGGGAGTGAGGAACGAAGGAAAGTGCTGTTAGAAGTTGTAACTGTGTGACAGTTCTCCAGAAAACCCCTGGTCAGAAGCTAGTTGTGCCCAGGGAACAAGCCACTTTCCTCACTCGTGTGTGCACAGGCAGGGTAGAGTAGAAAAACTTGAACACCCAGGAGCCTGTCAGTTTGAGCCACTTACCTTCAGGCAGCCTCCAAGACATCCAGCCCATTTTCGTAAACACCAGTGACCTTCTGTGGCACATCAGCTTTGCTCAGGTCACCAGGACAGGCATTATTACCCTCAGATCCCACCTGCAGTTTTGCTTGCATATGTTGCACCTTTACTAATCCCCAACTCATTTCTACATGGACTGTTGTTACAGAAGCAGAGATTCTCACAAACTCCTTCTCTGAGAATGCAGTATTACTACCTGAAGTGAGAACTCAAAAGTGGTGATGCGGAAAGCTTTTGGACATAGCACAGAGAAGTCTTAACAGGAATGCTCAAGGACTCTGCTTCCTCAATACTCACACAGCATGAACCAGATCAGTGTATTTTAGGATAATATTAAGAATTGTGCTGTTTTGTTCACACCTTCTGAAACAAAGCTACAACTCAAAATGATGCTTTCAATATTACATAATTTCAAGATTTTTCAATAATTAAAGGGTTTTGGTTTGTGTCAACTGGCAAAGTGAAGAGCACAAAAAGTCTGCATCCAATGAGAAGGAGAAATGTACCACTTGGCTGTTTTTCAGATGAAATGAAATATGGCAATTTTTTCCAAATGTAAATGCAAGCAGAAAGAAAACAAAACCAGATTGTCACATACTGTGGTGGCCACTTACTTAAAATCAGTTCTTTTTTTATAGTGTAAATTTAGACGTTGTATGCCTGTTAAAATAAAAAAAGCATGAAATTGCTTTTCAAGGAAATGTATATTTTGCTTGAGCCTAGCAATTAGACACAAGGTTATGGGAAGGAGAGGAAATATCTGTGCATGTGCATGCATATGCTCTGGAAACCACCACTCAGATTCCCAACTAGACCTCTTACACAGCTAATTACCTAACTTCTGTGATGTTTGCTGTTATGTGTGGAAAAGGTATTCCAGTACAGGGAAGCATCATGCAAAGGTGTCATCAGACAGTAAAAATTACTTATTTATCACCTCTAGTTTTACTTGTGTGTAGCTACAAGACCATATTTGTCATGCAGTCTAGGTAGCTGCAGACCATAATAAACTCATGACCTTCTCAATTTTTTCCCAAGTATGCACCAGCACCTAGATTATGTACCACTTTTCTCCTCACATCCTCTTGCACAGCCAAGGGTTTCCAGAAGCCTTGACTTTTGGGCATCTTCCAAAAGCCAGTGTATCTAGGAATTATGCCACGAGCAGCTGGCACAGCACAGTATATCCCAGCCCTAGACCTGACAAAAAGCAGGTGGGAATACCCGGGTACTTGTTACTGTTGTGAGAGGATGATCACCCTCACCCCTACGCAAAGAGGTGGGGGGAGGGAAACAGAGCAACTGTAACAGCAACATGAGCACCAAAGGATCTGCCAGTGCAAGGCATGAACAACCTGCAGCTGTAAATCTCCAAGGCGCAGTGATGACACAGATGACAGACTGACATCTCTGTGGGGCCTGACACACACGTAACTGGCCCTTCCAGAACATCAGGTTGACCACAATGCTAAAGGGTGGTATCTTCTACTGTATCTTTATTAGCATTCTGTAATTAATACAAATATTTTCTAGCTGGTAGTAGTTATTAATTTTCAAAAAAATTATCCATGCATTTAAGTATTCAAGTTTGGTTAGATCCTGGTCAAATGAAACTTATTGGACTTTGAAAAAAAGCATTTCATAGCACTTGAAAAGTTTAGTATTAAAAATTCCACAAGGCTGGTATTTTCAGGCAAATTTGTTTAAAAAAACCTTTTGTTTGAGAACAGAGTTTAATAAACTGCTTGGTAGTTTTTTCACTCCAGTGTTACTTTAGAGTGGATTAAGATCGGCACTGTTTATTAAGGAAATGCGCCAATTAAGCCTTTCTGAGGAGGTTAATTTTTGTGACGAAAGCACGGAAGGGTGGTATTGCACAGCTTTGCACCGAACCCTGTAAGTGCTGCATTTGCACGCTCTTTGTTGACCCTTTTTAGCACAATGTCATGCAGTGCCACTTATGAATGTCATTTTTTCCTGACCTCCCAGCCACTGGATGCAGTATAGCTTTTCCTGCCTAATCAGGGTTTTATTACATGATGTCTCGGGTTTCTCAGTCACAGCTAAAATCTTTACCTTAGAAACAAGTGACATAGACATTTAACTTGGGTGACGCTAAGGAAACATTGTGCTGGGAGAAAAGGAGACAGCAGTACTTCGGAGCATATTTACACATTCCTGACACTCAGGTAACCAGCCAGCAGCAGGGATTCTGGTGATGGCTGGGAAGCACTGAGTTTTACTGGAGTTAATGAGGGACATATGGAAGAAGGGAAGCTTGCATGTCCCTGATTTACCAGATAAAGTCGATATTAAGGATCTTATTAAAGAAGCTCTACAAGAATATTAAGTTAAAAAGCTGAGCAACAACCCAGTTTTCCACTCCTACAAGGAGCTTCAAGCTTGTAGAATGATGATTCTCAGAGAGACAAGCAAGCACTAGGTTAACATCAGACCATTTTTACCAGATCTGACCATCTGCCTTATTTCTCTGTCACACGCAGCCCCTAGCATCAGGGAAAACCCATCTGGTTGTAAATCAGTATTTCAACTCCTACAACTAAATCTGTAGATTAAAATTGGTTTCTACCATCATATATAAAGATAAAAAAACATGGTGGCACTGTCCTTCTGCACTGTTGATTTCCTCAGGATGCTTATGTGACATAACTAGAGGAAGCTCCTGAACATACAGGTAAATTTAGAGGAGTAAGAAAAAGACAGTTTTAAATTTGTCAACCCAGTTGTAGACTTCTTCAGAATTGCTAGATTGCAACAACTTTGATAATTATCTGTTAATTTTCTTTGACAAGGCCACACCATGTATAAAAGCACACCAAAAATGCAAAGCAGCAACTTTATATTACAACTTAATTTGGCTCTGAGCCTTCTTTGTCAATACAAAAAGGCTGAAAGGATCACATAGCATTAGAATCAATCAAGAACCAAGGAGACAGATAAGTCCTTGTTCTTCATGCCACACCACCACAACTAATCCTGGTATCTGTGAAAAAATGAAGTCAGTTTTGTTTAAAACAAAACTTTCTGTATTGTGTGCTCGTACAATGAATTTTGCTACATTTATTGTGGCAGTAAGGTGGAAGAAGAAAACAAAGTTCTCATTCAATTATATAAACAATACCAGTAGAATGCATAGAAGTCACTCAAATTCCATCAAATCTTGAGGTAAATGCCATCATGTTTGCAAAGAGGAGTACTAACCTTTCAGGAAGAAGCAGCAGTAAGACATAATAAAAAGATGGTAAGGGCAGAAGAACTGTCTCAACTCCATAGAGAAGGCATTTAGATTATGCTCCTGTTTGCTCAAGTGTACCACTTAGACTTTTGCACAAGCATGCACATTGCAGGGTCAAACCACTCTTGATTGTTGTGGTTCTGAACAGAAGCCAAATAGATTGTAGCAGCTGTATATTCAACAATTTGGTGTGATAAGAAACACTGTCAGTGCTGAAGCATGATTAGCACAATATAAAGCTTACAAACTAACCAAGTCATGAGTTAAGGTAAACAATATTTAGATGACTGATTGCACATGATTGCATATTATATTTACAAATCCCAAATATTTCCTCCAATGTTCTGACATAAATCTCAAAAATTAAATCAAACTATCCAAAAGCCTGAGATCAAGAAAAAATATTGTGCTGAACTGTGCTTTAATCTTATCATACTCTACGATGTACATACGTTTTATCTATGCACAACACCATCATTAAGAGCAAGGCAATTTTAGTCCCTGACACAAGCAGATTTATTCAGGAACTCAACCGAAAACAAGATTTACTGCACACCCTCATGGTATAGAACAGGCCCCAACCATACATGCAGTATGCCAAATGAATTGCTGTGCGGGAGCTAGAAGGAAACAGCTCCTGAACTTGTATCATATAAGCGCTGCTATTTTTGAGCATCTACTGTGGCAAACATGTGACTTGAAGCACACAAGACAATAGCTTTGGTCACAAAATACCCTCTCACTCCAACACTGCTATTACAGAGCACTGCAACTGTGCTCTATACATTAAAACACCGACTGCCCATCTAATGCTGTACCTACTCTACAACTTTTGCCAGTAGGAGCTTAGAGGATTGCTACTGGTTCTGCTGGAAAAGGTTTCCTTCAGGGAAGGGTATTGTCTAGACAGATGGAGCATTTTACAAAGAATGGTGTTACTCCCAATGCAGAACTGACAGAATATTTAAAATTGTCACTACCATACAAACTTTACTTGTTATACCCAATAGTTGGGATACCAAAAAATGCAGTATCTGTTTCAGGTGCTCAAGGTTTCCAGGCTTTGAAGACCAGTCAGAATGCTGCCATAGAAAAGTTCAATACAAAAAAGTTTACAGTACTCCTAACTCCTCTTCCCTATTCAGATTAACATGTTTTTGAACATATGTTTATGAGAAGTAGGACTGCAGTTTTCTTAATCCCCCAGCCTGCAATGAGGAAGATGATGATGTTTGATTACATAGACAATAAAAACTACTCTTAATGGATAAACATTTTCTCTACACTGTTAATTAGATCTTAAAAAATTTGTTTACTTTTCAACTGCCAACAGCCAATACAGAACACAATAGGGTACTGGGAGAGTAGTGATTCTCCTTTACAAAGCCAGCATACTCACATTGGCTTAAAACAGGAGTTAAATGAAGGAACACAAAAGGAAGATGATGATTGCTCTTCCTCCACAAGCCTCAAAATCTTGTACTAATACACTTGCCACAAAAATTAGAAAACAGAACACTGAACATGGTTTGCCGGTGGGAAAATGACAATAGCTCACTAGGTATCCCTAAGATCCACTGCACAACGCTGGACACACAGTTAATCTGCATCGACAGTGCCTATGGGCTTGTTTTTCTCCATTGAAGAAGTGTGGTTACCCAGCAGACACTTTGCAACCCCACCACGCTAGAATTCAGGCAAAGCTGAGTCCAGTATCTGCACCACGAATTGCTCAACAGCCACAGGCTGACAGGAGGGCTAGTATAGTTTTCCCAGTTAGATCTCCCTCCATCTCTTATGCAATCTTCGGGGCTGTGAAGGAAACAGTATTTATATGCTTTTAGATTGTTATAGGTTTGAAAATGTTGGATTTTCTCCCTAATATCAATTACTGGGTAGCGTGCACCTACAATGAAAGGACATCCCCCCCACCTTTTCCCGGGGTGGGGGGGAGGCGGGGAGGAGCGACGTCGCGCGCAGAGGGGCACGGGAGTGGGCGAGGGTTGTGTTTAAACTGGCTGGTAGGAGGTACTGGGCCCTTTGTTTGTTGGTCTTCCTGCCTGTCACCCGATGGAGTCGGCAGCCACCTTTTTTTTCCAATTCAACCTCCGAGAAGAAGCCTTCCCCTGCCTGGAACCGCCGATGGGGATCGGCCCCAGTCCTTCGCCGGCCATCACAGCAACCGCCGGGATAAACCCCAGGAGAGCTCCTGCCGACCGTTTTGGAGCGAGGTATCTGTCCCAGGCCCGCCCTGCGCCAGTGCTGCGTATCAGAGCATCTCCCTGCGGCTGCTGCCTGGAGCAGCCCGCCCGCCGCTGCGGGCAGTTATTTCCTGAGCTGGGGAGCCCGGAGCTGTTGCCGAGGGCAGCGCCCATAGCCCTGGGACAAAAGGGAAACGCCCCTTCATTGTTGGCAGTGGAGCCACCATCGCTCACGTGGCTGTGAGCAGTTGTTGAGCTACCGGGAACAGCCCGCGGACTCTCACGGGGAGCCACGGCAGCTGCCACCTGGGGAAGTAGGACTTTGTTTTGAAAGTTTTGGTTGCACTACTGTTACTTATTCAGGTTTGTTTTATATATATATATATATATATACACACACATGCTAATAAAGAGCTGTTATTTTCCTTTTCCACACCTTCCACCTGAAGCCTCTTAATTCTGAGGTTATAATAACTTAGAGGGAAAAGTTTGTTTGTTTTTTTTTTTCCTAACCTGCCCTCCTTAGCAAACATTTGTCTCTTGTTAAACTGTGACACAGATAATTTCTCCTGGCAGATTGGAATCTGTAAAAAAACAAAACAAAACCCCAAACAATTCACATTCAATATGTGCATCATATTGTTTTCAAGGTAGTGGATATGTCCTTGGAGAGTCTTAATGCATGACTGCTGAGAGAGCATATGCAAACTCATTTGTAAACACCTGAGCCTATTATCTGGAACAAAAAATTATCATGCCCTTTCCTTACAGTGATACATTTTTATTATGGGGTTGGAAGACAGTTAGGTGTACATCTAAGCTCCAGGTGAGAAGTGTGTTATTTGTAGTTTTCCTCCTAAGGGTGTACATCTGTACAGGATAGCATGTAATTTACCACAGAGGTTCTGCAAAATTAGTCTGTGTAAATTTATAGCCTGCAAGCAGTTTTGACAGTTATTACCCCAAAGCACAAGTCAAAGTAAAAAGACAGCAAACCAGATAAAGAAATCTTTTTTTTTCCCTTCAAGACAATTTTATTGTAATAAGAAGGGTTAATAAAACCCTTGTTTCAGTAAAGAAATATTAAATTCTAATTTTACATGTTGAAATATTATAAAACGTCAATCCTGTGACTATTGCAGCATTTTAAAAATGGTTGGAACTTCGGTCATTTTCACACCCCATCCACAGCAATCAAAAAATCAGTTTTTTTGGTAATCCTGAAAAGTGTAAATCACATTGTTAGTAAAGTAAAGGGGTCCAGCCCTCTTCTCAAGATCTGATACCATTCTCAAGATATATCTACTCTGAACTGCTTAATGCTTAATACTACAGTGGCAGTACATGACTTCTTCTAATGAATCTCAGAGAGTGATAGAATCAAAGCACACTTAAATCAGTGTGTACCCCAAATGAGTCACAAATTCTGCAATTAAGTATTAATTACATTTGAGATACATGTAAGTATTTTTCTTTGTTGATATAAAAACCTAACCAGTCAACTGTTGGCATGAAAAGCTAAGCCTTAACCCTGTCCCACCACACCAACACTCTTCATAGTTTTTCTTACATGCTGTCAGATCGAGGACAAATTCTTAACCTTAGATATGAATAGAACGGTTTTTGTTTATTTCCAAACCAATGTAGAATAGTTCTGATATTAGGTAGATTCTTTATGCTGCATTAACTCAGGAAAAAGTTTAGTGTACCTACAGCTCTGTAGGAATGCAGATCAATAAGACTGCTTCCTGGGGAAGCAGTGCTGCTTTTGGTTAAGTGCCAGAGTGAAGATTGACAGTGATGTCATCATAATATCAGTGTCTCCACATACCACACTGAACAGAAGTAAGTGGCAGCAGCAGACAGAAAGTATGCACGTTTAATACTTTTCACAGGCAGTCATCCATCCAGTGACAGTTTTTCCCTGACAGTAGAGACTGTTTTGTGAGAAGTACACAAGTTTGGTGAACGCGCCCCACAGGCTACAGGGTTTTGTTGTTGTGGAAAAGCAACACTTAGGGTGATGGCAGGAATCTTTGTCCTGACAGGTCCTGATGCCAATATTTTACAAGAGGGTATCCATCCGTAATCATTCAGTCTATTTTGCCAAGCTCCAGAGTGCTACCTGGACAAGGCTAAGGAAATGTGTTGTGCAGGATGCAAGGGCAGGCCAGTCTAAAAATTTCAGGGAATACAGCTTATTTTTCTTTGAGATTACTTTTTCATATTTCCACCCTCAATAGCAGTAAAAACATGCTGTCCTTCAATTTTTATTTAAATAAAGACTGTAGGATTATTCTTCCAAACAACTATTCAGATTTTAAGTGGTAATGTCATATAAGGATGGCAAATGAAATCCAGGGCAGCAGATTTGCTAGCTCTTAACATTGGCTCTCTCCTTAAATGTTTGTTGGCACTACCTTTGAGACCTTCTGATTCTGTCAGCCCAGCTAAGGCAAAACCAAAACATAATGGAAAATCCATATCAGAAAATCCATTACCTTTCTGTTTTCCACTTAATCGAAATGATACTGCTTTTTATGCTGATACTCAAATGTCTCAAAAATTAATGCTGACTTCTTAAATACCTCATTTATAGCTAATCTCAAAACTCCTAGCATTTAACACATAAGCTTTATTTCATCTTGTTGAAAATGAGACTTTCTGAAAGATGTTAAAGCAATTATTGTTCTAGCTTTATACAGCTCTGGAAACTCTGCCCATTGTCAAATACAACAATTAAGTCACAGAAATCAAAGAAGCATTTCTCTTTTTCCTGTCCTTTAGTTAACAGGCCTATTTTAGGGCATGTACTCCAAAACACTAGTCACAAACCCTCAAATGATCTTTGCAAAAGGAGCTAAAAAGCTTAAATTAATTGCCTAAGCTACCATAACTTGACAAGTTCCCACACATCAGTTGACCGATGGTACTGGGGTCAGTAAACAGTGTGCAAGTAGTCAGCTGATTAAATTTTATTTTGAGGTTGAAATCTTAAGGTAGTGCATTTTACTTCTAATTTGACACAGACTCTGAAACAACCATTCAAAGTGCCTAAAAGTTAAGTTAAACTCTAATAATGTAGTTGTCTCTCTGAACTCAAGAGGAAAAACACACTTCTATGGAAGCATCTCTATTACAAAAAGATACCACTTTTGAGTATTATTGAGTCTTATACTGGCAATAACAAAATGGCTCATGATAATTTGACAGCTGCTATCTAGCATATTCCAACTGTTAAGAAGACCAAGTCCAAGTTTAAGAACCAATATTTGCCTCTCTAGTAGAAGGTCTGAGTAATTCAGCATCAGATACAGATGTTGAGTCCTGAGCACTTTTCTTGCCACGAAGATATGAAATAATGCTACTGTTTGGGGAATACTGAAGGAGGGTCACAGAAATGTGATTCATGTTCTTTACCCAGAATGGTCTAAACAATTAACTTGCTTACCTGATGAGAAAGAAAGAAATCTCTCTGAATCTCATCTACATTTTCCAGTCTGTCATTTCACAGAATCACATGCTATGTGTTTTGGACTCTTATACTCCTCTCCTCATTTTGTTTTGTTTTAAGTGGTGTGAAGTTAAATTACTTCCACCTAAGTAAGATGCCTCAGGAAAAAAAGACTCATCATAATAGCCTATAATTTACTGGGCAGTATCACACACCATTAGAGCAATTAATGGAATTGGATATTTCTAACAAATAGATATTTCTAAGCATCATAGAAAAGAGTCTTTTTTGCACTAATTCTGTCAGAACACAGAACTAAGCATTTATCCTAAACCACAAATCACTGAAGGGTTTCAGCTGGTGTTGGTGCCCAAGGAATTAGTCCATTCAGAGAGTTTGTGTTCTGAAACACTGAAAACATCCCATTCTCTCTGAGCATGTAGCTCCTATTTTAAAATCAGTGAAATATTAAGAGGTTACCTTGATCTATTCCTTCTGTTTTTTTCCTTTTTAAATTTAAAAGTGCATTTTGTTGCTCCTTCACAGCTTCTGCAGGACAGTTGGGTCTTGGCAGCTGATTCCCTGGAGTGGGTCCTGGTCGATTACTGAAATACTTCTGTTTCAATGCCTTAATGATAATAGAAGAAAAATAACCAAGTAATTAGCATTAAGTGTCAGAATACTATTTATAAAGAAGTTATAATGAAATAAAGCACTTGCTATTGGGACTTAAAAACTACTTGGACATTTTTATACTACAAGGTGCCCTTGGGGCAAATCAAGTGTATGTTCTTAATTACTATCCACCCCACTTAGATTTGGTAAAGCAAGGGATAGAGTACTGTTATTTTCAGCTAGCACTCAGACATCCTAACAAAACTCTAGACTATTTTGCAAAAGGTCTTGTATAAGCACTTTCTAGGTCTGAAGAGCTCACATTCTGAATAGACTGAATAGTCTTAGATGAGACAAGAGTCTCATCTGAGCAAAGAGTAAAGTAGGAATAAAGAAAAATTAAAGAAAAATTAAAGGAATATATCTGAAGTCTTGATCAGATCCAGGATTTGGACACCAGCTGTTTTGTTAGCTTTTAAGATTTCTTTACTGTGCTGTTTCTACCCTGTAAACTATGAGAAAGGCACAATTTCTATCGGAGCAGAAGACAAACACAAGAGAGCAAGGTTGATTTCATGTAGTGGAATTACATACCCTATTTTAAATTTTAGGAACTTCACAGCTTCCATAAAGTGTGGTTAACAAAAAGTGGTTAAGGTGTTTCCTAGGCAATCATTACTCTTGCTAATGCCAGTTACATGATATTCAATGCTAGTTATAAATGAAACCAATAGTGTAAGCACAAGTTGTTTCCTGCCTTAAACTGTGGCATTGCCAATAAATATCTAGACTGGAAAAATACACTGTCCTACAATATGATCTGAAAAATCACTTCATACATATGAACTGGTGTCCCAAGCATAGCAGAACTAATAATTTGGAAACTTATACTGAATGTTCTTAAAGATAGTGGCCAAAAAAGTCTGAAGGTGCTCTGAAAAAGTCGTCTATAAAAAAATACATAACATCTACACTAATCCCCTGGATTCAGATCTGCCTTGTCTAACCAGCAATGAGGGAGCCCTGGCCTTAAGGGGACAGTTCTGTTTCTTACATGCCTCCCTAACAGTGTAAAGTGACAGAAATACACTTTTCAAACTGCCAACTGGTATATCTTCCTCATTACAGAAATCAATATCATGAACTGGAACATTCTGCAAGATTTGCCTTTTAAGTCCTTCATTTCTCACCACCAGGGAGTAGTGAAAATGAAAGTATAATGGAAAAGGATATTTAGACGAGCATCATGGTTTAAAATCACCACAGAATTTCACATTAAAAAAGCCTCATGGAAGTTTAAATGAAATTGAAGAAGACACTGGATGAAGTAAGTCTGAAAATCTTTCAAACCCAGGGAATAGGCTATGCTATGTTAAGACTTAACCTTCAAGCTTTAAGTGATTGAATTCCAAATGTCAAATACAACTGTCTAAAGGCGATGACTCATACACCTTTTAATTGTCTACACTGGGAACAGAGATGATCAGTTAGCATTATCCATGCCTTTCAGAGTTCTCTTTCTAAAACACTGAGATTAGGTTTTTGGAAATTCATGTAACATTTCATTTCAAACCTGGCTTACTGGCTTCAAAACACATTTATTTGATATTAACAGTAGATTAATGCACATTAGGACATAACTCAAGTGTACTGTACCTGAGTAGCTGTAACCCTAGTGCAAGGATTAAATGTGAATAAGCCTTGAAGAAGATTGAGCAGATCATCGCCAGCCGCACTGAAGATATGCTGAAGTGGCATTCCAGGGAAAGATTTAAATGTGACATAGTCTGGAAGACTTGTCATCCCCTACAAAGACCAAAAATGGAATGTTTTTTACTTAAGAGTTCAGTTTTTCACAGAAAGCAAACTTCATATGGCTGTCTTTCAGCAGAAGCAAATCATCTTTCAAAACACCTTGCTAATACTTGGTCACTGAAATGACAAATGTAGGAGTAGTGGGTAATCAAGATTTTTTTTTCTCAGTAACTGTTCCAGTTGTTTTATGCTCTCCCTTTCCAAATGATCTGTCCTTCCTTTGCTTTAGCAGTGACCAGGCCAAAAGGAAAAACTGTTAACAAAGAAAGGAAGTAAAAAAGAACTTTAGAGTGGATGCAGACAAATGAAATAAAGGTTCCTTTTGTGATCTGACATGGTTGGAGGGAAAATATTCACAAAAGAGCAAGTCTTTCTCCCCATTAATAAAATTAACTGCATTTTGAGATACTTTTGAAATGCACAACTGAAAATTTATATGGGCTGTTGGAGGAGGGAAGGAAAATATACACCAAGCAGTTAAACAGAAGATGGACTGTGTACTGTTTCTTCTGTAGGTATGACATCAATACCATTGTATTCAAATTCTAGCATAAAAATGATCTTGTAACAACTATCCAAATGTAATACTTTAGTAGTATTTTAAGTATTTAGTCATCACACTTCAGCAAGTTTGTCCAAGCAAATATGAACAAAATAGAATATGAACAATAAAGTGAAAAATGTGCTCAATCAGTTACAATCTTGATAGTAGAGTTTTCAATTATTGAAATCCGTGGGCTTGCAAATTAACTTTGGGATGCATCATCTCTGTTTTGCTAGCCAATCTCCTACTCACCACATCTTTCCCCACCCACATCTTAACTCTTCCTCTCCAAAGAAAGCACGAATGTCACTGCAAAAACCTTTATGTGTTTCATTCAGAATCCCAGAGCAACAGCAGAATTGTGTGGGGCTAGCACTGCCTCATACAGTATTTCTCCATATGGCTACAGCTCCATTTCATGATCATGTACCATAGCATTCCAGTACAATTCACACAAAGGAAAAGCAGCATGGAGAGGGAGCAGAGGTTAACAAGTACAGTGAGTGCTTCCATAGCTCAACAACAATTCCTGATCAGGGAATTCAGAACTCCTGATGCAAGTTGCTCATCAGAAGTTATGCCCCACTTCCTGTCAGTCTGTTTAATATCCATAGTTAGGTAGGTCACTGTGTGTCCTGACAGTAAGTTTTGCCTAGTATTACTGATTTTATTGTCACTTCAGAGATAATTGTACTACTAATTTGTATTTGTTACCGTACTGTTGCTGAGACAAATTGTTCATCCCTAAAGCTGTTGGTCTGGTGTTTCTTACTGTATTCCAAACTATAACTTACCTTGGCCAACTTAGATCCCTATAAGTGGTTCCTACTTATGAAAGTCGTGAATGGACACAGAAAGGAAACCATAAAGTGTTGTTAATCTTGCTATTGACCAGAGGTTTGTCAAGAGAAACAACAAATTTGTGAGATGCTCTGTGAGATGAGGCTACTGCCTTCTGAAAATCTACTCAAGTATTCTGGTATAACCTTTCATTTAATTTCAGAAGTTAAAATAGAGAGTATCAAGTAAAACTAATGTCAGTCTGTTAAACAAAAGGACTCACAGGCCACTGCTCTTCTGTTGGAGTGCCCAGTGTTTCAAATATCCTTGTCAGCTGGTCAAGATCAGAGTCTCCAGGCAAAAAAGGAACCTACAAGGCAACAGCATGTGATTTAATTAACTTCTGAACTTCAGTTTTAGAGTGGAGCTTTGAGTGATCACTCCTAAGTGCAGGGCAAAACACTTCTGTATACCATCTCTCCACAAAGAGCTACATTGAATATTGAGGCATTCTACTGATGTCCAAATGGATTCTGAAAGTTTCTTGAACCTGGGCTTCATAATGTTGACTTGACAGCAGGGAACTAAACATAAAATTACACAACCACATTAATGTAAAATAACACAGGAAAGATTTTGCATCTTAGTTGTCAAAGTCATGGTGATCCTTCCATCATATGTTCCCTGAAGTTAGCTTTTATATATATATTCAGTACATTTAAAGTGAATTGTAACTGGATTACAGAAGTTAGACTGAGGAAATGAGATTTAAGCATGAGGGAGACTAGAGACTCACTAGAATAGAAAACTGTCTTATCAGTATCACATTATTTAAACTAAGCAGAAGACTGAAAACAGGGTATCTGCCCAGCTCAACTTGTACCTTGCACACCTCACACACAATGGAAGTAAAAAGAAACTCTGTGACCAAAGCAAATTTATAAAGAATTAGAGACAGCGTTTAACTAAGCAACACAGAAATACCCACACTAAACTTTGGCATCATGAAAGCCCCTCAAACATAAACTGCTTTCATAAAGCTCCCAGAAGCTGCATTGTCCTGAAAAAGGACAGATACATTTAAAAACACCACAGTGATAAAACTGAACCATAATACATTTTCTACTTTGTGAGAAACCAAAGAATCAGTTCAACAATTTATTTGAATTCAACAATTCAATAAATTCAACAACTTACTTGTCTTCTCACTTTGCTTAAATTTAATCACTTTACCAGGTCTAATGCATATTTATGTAAACATCACTAGTGTTCATTAAGCAGCCAATATATATTTCCCTGTCTGAACTGCCAACCAAATCGCACCAGCATACCTGTTTGGTGTGGCAAACAATTTCTTTTGAGGCGTTTTCACACAGACCAGTTCTCCAGTCTGGTTATGAGACAGCCAAAAAAGCATTCCAAGTATAGTGCAGAAACCAAGCAGAAGCGACTTAGTCGTGGAAGATAAATGATACTGCATGCTACTTCGTGCCTTCAGCTGTGTCTGTGCCCCTGCCCTTCACTCCCCCCCTGACACTTTCATGTCTTCTCCAAAGAGCTGTATAGTAAACGTTCCAGTTCAATAAAACATACTTAAGGACCATGACATCTGTGTACCATACAGAGGAGTGCCATAGGATTATTATAGCGTTAACCTTCAGCTTCATTCTAGTATTGTCAACTAACCACAGTTTAGAAAAAACATTGATCTTCTGTTCGTTATACATAAACCTACAATTAAGGTGTGGCGATTATAATTTGCAGTTAGTGAGAAACAATGTATAAGGGACAGTGTATGCATGTATCTAGGATGTCACATTTCTAGAAGGCTAGCGAATGAAACTCATAGAAGGCTGTGTGAAACTGTAACACTAAGAGGACTGGAAGAGTTACCTACTTGGCATCTCCCAAGGCAAGACTGTGACAGTTTGTTGCAACTTTTTTACCCAACCGTTTTGAAAAACTTCCAATGCTTGTGGATGCTAATAAAACCTCAGTCTATTGCAAAACTTCACTTTCATTACAGTTAACAAGGTTTTGGAAACTTTCTTCTACCCTGTCTTTACCTGCTAATGTTAGCAAGAGAGAAGCAGCCCACATAAAAAGCTGTAGTGCACTAAAGAGCAAATACAAAATGCTTACATTTGAAGACTTACCCTGAGGAGCAATTCAGCTAAAATACAACCAACAGCCCACATATCAACACCAACACCATACATTCTAGCCCCAAACAATAGTTCTGGGGCTCGGTACCATCTGAAAAGAAAACACATTTTGGGAAAATCACCTGGCTTTGCTCATGTCAAATGCTGTATATTGTAGCAATGCAAATACTAAAAAGAGGATGCTGCTTCTGCCTATATACTTTTCAGACACTGAAGAGCTGTAGTCTACCCCACAAAGTGTTTTGTTTAAGAAAGACTGAAAAAATTTGTGCATTCCTCACCATAGGGTCACATGCAACCACAAATTAACTGCAGTTTCAATTGAGCTGATTACAAGCAATGGAACTGCAGACATGCCAAGGAAGAAAGTTTTTAACTTGCAGGTTTGCAGGTTATAAAACAAAATTTTCTTAAAATTTTATGTTGAAGGAATGACAGCAAGACAGAACTCCTTCCAGCTTCCAAAAATCTCCAAATCAACAAACCTAAGTATTGAGGGTAGCTTTATGCAAAATGAGCTTTGTTGTTTAAAACAGCTACTTAACACTGCCTAGGAACAATTAGGTTTAATGCAATGACCTGATACACACACTGCTCTTGAAACTACTGTGGAATTTCTGCCTTTCGAACAAAGATGTTAAAACAAACCAGCTTTGCACGAATACTTTTATCATTACAGCAGTCAGAAGGAAACATGTTGCATGTTTTGCAGCCCTGCTTTTTAAAGCATACTTTAAATAAGCATGCTATAAAACCCATTAATAAATATTTTAATTGGTTCAAGTGTTTGTCTCATAATAGGTAATGTGACTAGCTACAAAAATGGTTCTAGGTCTTGTGATTAACAGAAAGTAGCAGCTGTCTTGCTCCCAAAACCAGGCTTACAGGAAGATACATATTATTTCCATATATTTCAAGAGTATCATACCAAAGAACAACTCCCAGGGATGCATATTGTAGCAGTTCTTATGGAGATTTTGTTAAACAATGCTTCCCTGCATGTTCTTTATGAGGCTCTTGCCACATAACATGAACTAGATGCTACTCTTTGAATATGTTGATATGACATGAGAGAAGTGCCAAGAGACACCTACAAAACAACTAAATAATCTCTGTCTAAGAAACAAAATAGAATGTCTTACCTTGTTACTACCTGGTGTGTATAAACTCTATTTGGGCTTCCAAAAGATTTTGCCAAGCCAAAGTCAGCTAATTTTAAAACCCCATTTTCATCTAACAGCAAGTTATTTGGTTTAAGATCCTGTCAGTAGAGAAAGCAAATAATGAATTTTGACAGTATTGTTAAAAGCAGACATATAATGGATCTCCTAGCAGATGTGTCATAAGAGTATTTAAAATGAAAGCTTTTGATTCTATGTGAAGTCTACGTTGTTAGAAAAAAAATAATAAAACACCGGAAATTGAGTATTTAGCCATAGAGGAAAATCATAGTGAGACACACCAATTTGAATATTAACACATCTAAGCTGCAGACTATAAAAAAGCCACTTCATAGGTTTTAGCTTTGCTGCAGGACCAACAGTTTTGTTAACCACATAGATGCCAACTGAATAATAAAAAGACATTGCAAATGTTTCAAATAACTGCAGAAATTATGGAAGTCATACAGTTTAATACAGTAGCAGTGTGTTGTTGGGTTGACCCCTGGCCAGTAGTGAAGCATCCACATAGCCATTTGTTCATTCCATTCTCATGCCAGAAGTCCAGGCAAAAGAAGACCAAAAGCAAGAACACTCTAGGCACACTATAAAGGCAGTTTAACAGGTGAAGGAAAGAGGAAAAAACAAAAGCAAGCAATGCAATGGAAATCATTCACCATCTCCCACAAGCAGACAGATACATGAAACAGTCTCCAAGAAAGAGGCAACCCGGAAGGCAAAATCCCCTTCTTCTCTAACCCAGGTTTTTACTAATGATCATGGCATTATATGGCATGCAATATCCCTAGGGACAACTTGGGTCAGCTGCCCCAGCTGTGTCCCCTCCCCACTTCTTGCCCACCCCCAGCCTACGCATCAGGGCAAGGGCAGGGTGGAAAAAAGAGAAAGCCTCAACAGTTCACCTGCTGTGAAAAAAGTTCAATCCATCCCAGCCAGACCCAGTTCACAGTGATAATTAAAGTCACATCTAACTGGAGAACCTTTTATATAACTATTTAAATGAAAATTGCATCAGTAATTCTTAACATTTCTGGTACTTCTATTGTCTCTCCAAAACACGTAATATGAAAGTGTATGGAGTGAGAGTGCCTGAACTCCAAAACTACTTTCATCAGACTTTAGACTCAAACTTTATCCCATGTGAGTTTTGTTACAGCATAAAGGCTGTCAGTTTAGTACATGCTTACCCTGTGTAAAATCCAGTGTTGATGCAGATATTCTAATCCTTGAAGTGTCATCAGCATATATGCCTTGATGTGAGACTGTGTCAACACAATACTTGTATCCTTTATAATAACCTGTAAAGTTTTAACATGACAGTAAAGCTCAACACACAAGATAAACTTATTACCATTCTTTCAGCTCAAAAGTTACTTCAGGCTCAAAGAAAGATTTCAAACAGCAGTCAAAAAATTCTCTACCATTCTCACTCTTTTTCCAGAAATACAGGTCTATTCTGGAGATCAGAAATTGAAATCCAGAGCCCAGATAGTCTACATGAACTCTTCCCAGGTCAGCAGGGACCTCTCTGGAATTCCCAAGACAGTTCAAAAATAATTGAGGGAGGTTGGGCAATGACATCATCCTCTGAGGATTCTGGGATGAATCCCATCAGGCCCCATACATTTGCAGACATCCAGCTGGAGCAGCAAGATCCCACACAAGTTCAGGGACAACTTGGAGTTGATCATTCTCACAGTCATGGGTCTCCAGCTCAGGGCACTGAGACCCCCTTGGTCCATCATTCGTGTTGAAGACAGAGGCACAGAAAGTGTTAAACACCTCTGCCTTGTCCCTGTCCTTATTTGTGAGGTGACCATCCTCATCCTGTAATGGGCTGGTGATATTTCTATACTGCCAGTTACCATTAATGTATTTGAAAGAACTCTTTTTATTGTCCCCCACATTTCTGGCCAGCTTCAACTGTAGTTGAGCTTTGGCAGCACAAATTTTCTCCCTACAGCACCAAGCAGCATCTCTGAATTCTTCCCGTGTCACTTGACTTTGCTTCCACTGGGCATATACACCTTTCCTTTTTGCCTTTTTTTTTTTACAAGAGAAGATTCCAGCTCAGCCAAGCCAGCCTTCTGCCTCACCTGCTTGATTTCCAACATATGGGAATTGCTGCTCCTGTGCCCTACGGAGGTGAACTTTAAAAAGTGACCAGCACTGATGGATCTCAGCACCAGCAAAAACATTTTCTCAGGAGACTTTCCCAATTCCATGAGCAGCCTGAAGTCCACTCTCCTTCATGTCCAAAGTTGAGGTTTTGCTGGCACTTTTGTTCCTGTCAACAGAGATTTTAAACTCAATCCCTTTGCGGTTGTTGTGGCCAAGATGGTCACCAATCTCCAGTTTGCTCACAAGATCCGCTCTGTGAATAAACAGCAGATCAAGGAGGGCATCTTTCTGAGTCAGCTCCCTTAGGACTTGTTCCAGGTTTTTTAGGAATTTTCTGGCCCAGGTTGTACCAGGTGTGTGATGCTCTCAGTTAATTTCTGGCAAGTTGAAGTCCTCCATAAGGACCAGGGCAGTTGACTTGGAATTGTGCTTAGTTCCTCCAAGAATAACTCATTGGCGTCATCATCCTGGTTGGGAGGTCTGTAGCAGATTCCCACAATGACACCCACATTATATGCTGGCCCCTTGATTCTTACCCAGAGGCTCTCAACTGTGCCACTGCCCACTGTGAGCTCCATACATTCTAACACTTCTGTTACATACAGTGCCACCTCTCCGCCTCTTCTGCCCTGCCTATCCCTCCTGAAGAGCCTGTCACCATCCAGCAGGGGACTCCAGTCTCAGAATTCATCCCACCGGGTTTCACTTACCCCAATGATATCAAATCTCTGGCATTATAGCCAACACCTCATGAACTAGATTGAGAGATATTATTAGTGCTTGTTTCCTCAAGTTTGGGCACACCATCCCATGGTTTATCACTGGCCTGCAAGCCTGGTCTTGTCCCTTTACTCCTTCCAATCTCGTTTAAAGCTGTAACAAGCCCCACTAGTTTCTGTGTTTCAGGGCTTCCCTCAGCACCCAGGGCTTTCACCACCACCTTAACAGATCAGGACTACAACCACCACTTTGACCAACAAACATCGGAATTGCAACAACCAAGTCTCATTGGTGGATCCAACAGGTGTCTTGCGGGTCCTTCCAGTTTCCTGGGGGATTCACAGCCCTGCTCCAACTGCCTCTACTGGCACTGCAGCCTCACTGCAGCACCATGCAAGCATCTCCTGGTATCAAATCCCAGCTATCCGCCATTTCCTGCCGGCACTGACTCTTCAACCATTCCTGCCAGGTTTTCTGGGTGTGGGGATGGCAAAACACATGGAGGGGTGGCCATCTGGTCTCTGTCCTGTGGCCACGTGTGTTTTTTCCAGGTTGAGGAGGCTGGCTGCCATCTTCATTTGGCCTGGTGGGCAGAGCTTGGGGAGTTTCTCCTCATCAGTTGGTTTAAACCAGTTATATCAGTATTGTTATTAGCATTTCTTCTTGCTAAAGAGGTACTTTTTCACTTACATCCAGGTGTATTTGGTCTCTCTGTACTGGAGAAACCAGGGGTATTGAATCCGAGGGATAAGATTTCTTTCTGAGGTCTCCACTCTTCCAAATTGTCTCAAACCAAGACACACAAAAATGATAAATGTGTCACTGAACTTGAAATTATGTTCCCAGTTATTCCTTCTTTCTTCATGCAACCTAAGCAACTCATCTTTGTATTTACAACAGTTTCCTCTTCTATCTCCACAAAGACCAGGAGGTATGGCCACTTCGCTGAATTTTAAAAAATACACAAGTTTTCTACATTCTTTGATTTTTAACGTTAAAAATCTATGCAAACACCCTGTTTGAAAGAATTTTCTCCACTATTCCTCAAAGCCTGCTTGTTCATACTACTGTCCTGTTCAGTAATAGCCTTTCATAAGCTTTAAGCTGTTTGAGACTTATAAGAGACCTAAGGCTGCACAAATTTCATGTATGCTACAATGCTTAATCACAACAGGCTGCAGTCCCAATGGCAGCCTGAGTGATATAACAATACAGTTTAAATGCTTCGTGTACCAGAGCATCACGTAGTACAAGAGTATTTCATTCTTCTTTGTACACTGATCTTCTTCAGTTCTAAATGTTGCATAGTTACTATGTAAACAGCATAAATCCTCTAAAAGTCTACTCTTTACTAACGTCTATTAGCATAAACCTGATCTAAGCTTTTCAAGTCCTGCATTCATCTAGGTTTCAGCAAGCCTGTCAGTATTTCCTTTTAACAATTCAAATGCTACCTCCAGTTCTTAGCAGCATATATATAATGAGCTAGCTTAACAACTACATTAATTTCAGTTCAGAGTAGATATCTTGTGTGCATATGCAGATCTCTCATGCATTGCTGCCTAGGACAGTCTTCCAAAAATGAAGATTCTCACATCAAAATGTCTCATACAAAGACTTAGGCAAAGACAAATGGATTTTTGGTCTTGGAGAATGAAACATCTGTAAGATATTGATTTGCAATTACCTAGCATTACTGCATTTGAAAAAAATGTTTCAGGTACATGCAATTTTAATACCAGCTCATCACCTGGTATATTTCAGTAGCACACTTACCTGAACATGTTTGATATTATGTTTAGCAATTGCACTCCAAGAAGCTGATCTATGACTGAGATTCTATGCTCTGACTGAAGTCACAGAAAACTAACACAGTAAACACAGTGTGTTTCTTGAAGATCATGATGACAAGTATTTAAAAGTAAAGGAACTAATCAAACAAGAACTCACAAAAACTGAAATTACTCAAACTACTATTAAGACATAATCTTCATTAACTAACATAATCAAAGTCACCTTTCTAATATGGGCAAATATAAGCCTGATAAAATAGCATTTTCAGAAACCATCTTAAGATACTGAAAAAAAAAAAGTCTTTAAAAAAATCTTACCTCTAGATCTGTTTCCATAAAATCAAACACCAAGCTAATATTGGACTTGTGTCCAAATGCATCTATGAGCTGCAAAACAAAATACACTATGATTAAGCATGCTCTCATGCTTCCAGTTTTCTGAAATTCAACATCACTGTAGACTATACGTGGATTTTCAGCTTTTTGAGAATTGGTTTAAGTTTTTTGATTTGCAACACAAAAATTCTTGCTCAGTTCAGCTTCTTAACTCAGTCTTCAAAAACTCAGAAAAAACTCCCCATTAAGTATGGTAATAACATTTTACACCACAATTGCCCCTCCTCCCTGGAGACAGAAAAAAAGAGAAAGAATTAACTTTATCTTACACTACAACTAGTGTATTGCACACCTTGTCCTCTCCCCAAACTTCGCTGTTCTACAAAACTTGTACCCTTTATTGAGTACATGACTAAGTTTGCCCATGGATTCAACTCTGGGTATCTGCTTCATGTAAGTATTCTAAGTGTTAGGCTTATTCACTTCCCTTCAGATATTCTTAGGTGTGTATTCATCTTTGTAGCAAGCAATCTTTCCAGCAAAAGTAAAACTCTTTGGAGAATATCCAAACAGTCCTTTCTTAGGATGAAGTTGTGTAACGACAGAATCAGTTTTTAGTTCGAGATAACACAAGCGTGATGCTGAGTGAAAACAAAAGATTAGCTAGCTTGGTATTCAACCTTCAAGCTGTAGAAGGTATGAGCTCCATGGTGCAGCTTATTCCTTAGTGTGATGGCCATGTGAACTGCCCAATTGCAATACAGTCGTTTAAACAGTCCATAACAACAGCGACTGTGCCCCTTGTGCTCCCAACATCCACAGAAGTTTTGTGAGGACTACTAAGGGGGCACAACATTGTCTATTGCTTTTAGTACCTGCTTACGGAACTGCTGATCATAAATTTGCCTAACTCCTTTTTGAACTGCTGATGCTATTTTCTTCTACAATGCCCCAGTCAACAGATTCTAGAAATTCATTACACACTGAATCAAACCGTACAATTTCCACTCCCACTGCAAATATATTTTAAACACATCTCTTATTTTTAGTGCTACAGGGTTTGGAAATACCAGCTCTGCATGGACTCCACCTACCACCTCAGTTTTGTAGACCCTCCCATTCCCAGCCTTTTCCTTTCCAGAATGAGGAATCCCTGACTTTTTCATAAAGAAGATGCTCCATCTCTTTGCCATTCTAGTTGTCCTTCCCTGCATATTCTCTAACTGATAGCTAAAGCAACCACTTTGAAAATAAGTTCACAATCCAGAAGAAAATTATACTTCCACTCTGAAAGAGTTAAAGTATCTGGAAAATTCGTATTTGGTCTAATATTTATGTAAGACCTTGTAATTATCGCTATGAGTTACCTTTAAAATATCTTTAGCTCCAGCTGAATACCTGTAGCTGTCAATTTATCAAAATGCAACTGAAACAATACTGATTTTACTCCTTCCAACAGAGATTTTAAACATCATATCTGTGTGCTAAAGCCTAATAAGCCACACGATCTTCCCTTTACCATTTCTTATGAAAGCCTGCTTTTTGACTGTCTCCAGTTCCATATGAAGCAAACGATCAGGTAAATTCAGCACTGCATTCATTTGCAATTCTATCAGAGAGATGCAAAATCAGGTAATCTAAATTTCCACAATTCTTCTCACCATTAATATCCACACAGCCCCCAGCTGAAAAGTGAAAGGATTAAAAAAACCTAATTTGCCTTTGCTATTGAAATTGGCATTTTGCCATTATAATTGTTGTACTGCCTAGCTAGGGTTGGGAAAAAAACCTTAAATAACATTAAGTAACAGCTCCATGACCCAACTATTTTTGAATTTCAGTCTGAACCTGTACCAAAATATTTGAGGACTGATTCTAAAAGCAGCATTCATTTTACTTACACCAATAATATTTGGATGGCTTAGCTCCTGTAATAGTTTTATTTCCCTGAGGGCTGTCCTGTTGATTCCTACATTGATGGGAAGAAAAAAGATGAAAGAACAAAATGAAAAACTGGATTAAGCTCCAAATAAACATCTCGTTCTGTTACTCACTGACTATTTACTACTACAAATTACATTCTCACCACTCAACAATTCGCTAAATAACAAGTACATTGCCATAAGTAAGTAAATTGCTGCAGAATAAAAGTGGGCATACATTTTCTTCCACAGCACATACGTTTTACACCACAGTAATCCAGTTTAGATTATGAAGCAACAAGTCTCCCTTTTGGCAAAAAGGGAAACTCATAGCAAAAGCCTAGGGGGGAAAAAAAAAGATCACCTTTTACATGGTACTGGAAGGCTTGCTTTTATTTAAAAAAAAAGTTTTATCTTGCAAATATCAGTTCTTCAACATATCTCACTTTCAGAGGAATGCATACTGACAAAGCTCATGAATAAACTTCTTTTCTTTTTGACACAGCACTGTTTAATAACACAAGACATCTGTTTTTCTACATTCATGCTGTGGCATAAATAAGGCATAAAAGGTAATTGACCAAAACCTGCTTGCCCTTGCTTGAATCTTTTCATAGCCAGATTTTACAGAGGGAAAAACCAGAGGATGATGGGGGCGAAAGGTGCGCTTTGGCAGTCACACTGATTGCACTGCATCAAACCACGATTCCTGCAGGGTACAAACTCCTCCTTGAAAAGTGCTTATATATGTGGCTTGTATGAAATCTGACAGGCAAACTGTGGTATGTCATATAGGAAGATTTAGCTGCACATGAGCTCAAAACCAGTGTTCTCCTAAAGCCTAGGATAAAATTCAATGCTAATTTCTGGCACTGAAAGTTTTGGGCAAAGCTACATGGATTCCTTTACACTCCTGCTTTCCCTGTTTTAATTAACTATTTTGGAATCAAGTTGACAATGGCTGCTTTTGGGTGGGCAAAGACTCAGATGATTAAAAAAAAAAAAGAAACGTCATATTACAACACAGGGAAAGCAGATATAATCATTATTTTCGATAACATCTTTCAATTACAGCTAGACACTATACAGGCCAAAGCAATAACTGTCCCTAAGGGCCATTAGCCCACTGAAGGCCAGGTGGATCATGACTCTTGGGCAGCCAGCTCAACTGTGAGACTCTGTGATGAGTTTAGAAGTTTTTTTTTCATAGAATGGAACTGGAGAGTTGATAGCAAAGACTGTTCACTGAAAAGCTGGTGACCTGATGCAGGATCCCGGAAGGACAGCAGCCTGCACACAAACAAAATTCTACTACATCGCACAAGCTGTAAAAGAAGACCAAGATTAGTGAGTTTTATTTTGTAATATCCATGCCTAGAGGCAAGTGGCTGATCAGAGCATACACTCTACAGTGCTGAACATCAAACAAACCCACACAGAAACAAAAGTTTTAAGATTTTGGCTTTAATAGAACAAAGAAAATACCTGAAAACAGATGCAAATACTCTCACCCATCTTAAAAATTTAAGAGATGCATTAATACAAAGAGGGTTTTCTAAACTCAGTGCTGGTGCCGTTGTTATTATTTTATGCTAGATTCATGTCTATATTCCACTAAAATTGAGAAGCTAAGCAGTTATATACTCATATTTAGATACATACCATGCATGTAGGTATCTTTTGTCTCTCCCTGCAGTTTGCAAAGCAATCCTCTACTAAGCCTTACACTGGTCACTGAGCTCATTTTTCCCAAACAAGGTATGGTATGTGAAATTAATGTACCAATTTACAAAAACAAAGCAAACAAAGCACAGTTTCTACAGCAAGAATTTGTTTTAAAACTCACCATCTTTAGCTTCCGATCTATGCCCCAGTTTAATCTGAAAATAAATGTTTCATATTATATAAGAATAAGACATCTTCCCCAACAGTGGGGAGCACATTCTTTACCATTACTCTTGTAAGACAGAATGAGTTTCAGCATAATGAAGCACTTTACCAGCTAGGTTGCTTTTAGTTGTTTTTTTTTTCCTTAAAAAAATAACTGTTCTTACAGCATTAGTTTTTACAAAAGCTTAAAAATAGCCATGATGGCACTGAAAGCAGACATAACGCAAACTGACAGCATAAAATGCTTCGTAGCCACAAAGCTTTATTATATCACTAATGAGTTTCTTCTCAGGGAGAAATGAGAGCTAAGTAATTGACAATCACCTTAGAATGATTCTAGTAAATTTAGCACAGGCTGTAAGCTTGGGCTGTAAACTGGGCAGTCCTTCTGCCTTAATCATCTACTGCCTGAAATTTCAAGTCCAGAATCCCACCATGGATATTTCCAGATGACAAAAGTTAAGAAAATGTTCTGATAAAACCAAGAATGCTTTTCACAGCAGCTGCTACCAGTAGCAACCATACAATAGAAGTATCACAATGCTAAAAGGGATTAGTGCATTAAACAAAATTACTTACTATTGATACAGTTCAACTTGCTGAGTAAAGTAGGGTCTTTAACTAAAAAAAAAGTGCTGAAATGTGCATTTTTGTCCTTCACAAAGCATAGCTGAAGATTCATTTTTAATACAAAAACTTCCTGCAATCCCTTCAGATAGTAACAAGTGAAACACTTTATGACAACATAAACATTTTCATCATTTGTATCCAAACAAGTATGTTGCAGATCCAAGATCACTTTCATATTTTATCAGAAAACTACCATATGGGTAAGAGACATTACTGGAAAACTCTCAAGTCTAGTTAGGCCTTCTGATTACTAACCATTATTGGCTGCTCAAACTGGTAGCAATGAAATAAAAAAAGAGAAGTCCGAGGGCAATCAAAAGAGATTTCAGGGCCCTGGAATGATTGGTTGCAAGATCAAGAGCAGAGGTAGTGATTTTCTTGATCCTTCTGGTAACAAGGAATAATATTGATAGGAATAGGCAGATCCATCAAGTCAATGAGGCTGGTGTAACCACAAAAATTTTTGGTTCTTTGAGTATGAGATGATCCATTCAACACTTTGTCTACTGATACCTGAGGAGATGCACCTATCTCAGGGGGGACAAAGAGTTCTAACACAGGAGCTAGTGGGACTCACTAATAGAACTTTAAACTAGCTTGGAAGGAGAAATGGACAAGACCAGCCTCACAGGCCAGTGATGAACCATGGGATGGTGTGCCAAAACCTAAGAAACGAGCACTAAGGGCATCCCTCAATATGCTTCACAAGGTGTTGGCCACAAAGTACCACACCTGAAATGTTTCTACACTAATGTACCCAGCATGAGGAACAAGCAAGAGGACTTTGAAGATTTGTCCCAGTCTCAAATATTTGACATCACTCGCATAAGTGAAACCCGGTGGGATGAATTCTGAGACTGGAGTGCCCTGCTGGATGGTGACAGGCTCTTCAGGAGGGATAGGCAGGGCAGAAGAGGCGGAGAGGTGGCACTGTATGTAACAGAAGTGTTAGAATGTATGGAGCTCACAGTGGGCAGTGGCACAGTTGAGAGCCTCTGGGTAAGAATCAAGGGGCCAGCATTTTGGACAAAGTGTCCAGTATACAGCTGGATAACCATGTTACAAGATGGTTGAACATCTGGCTCACGGGTTGGGCTCAGAGGGTAATAGTGAATGGCGTTACATCCATTCACCAGTGGGGTTCCAGAGGGCTCCATCCTCGGTCCATTTCTCTTCAACATCTTCATAACAACTTGGACGCAGAACATAAGGAATACTAAGTAAGTTTGCCAGTGACACTAAATTGAGAGGAGCTGTTGACTCCCTCAAGGGCAGGCAGGCCCTGCAGAGAGATCTCAACAAATTAGAGAGATGGGCAATCACTAACTGTATGAAGCTGAGCAAGGTCAAGTGTTGGATTCTGCACCTGGGATAGGGCAACTCCAGATGTATGTGCAGACTGGAGAATGAGATGCTGGAAAGCAGTGCCCTGGAAATGAACCTGGGGGTCTTGGTCGATGGCAAGTTGAATATGAGTCAGCAGTGCCCTGGCAGCCAGGAGGGCCAACTGTGTCCTGGGGGGCATCAGGCAAAGCATCATCAGCTGGTCGAGGGAGAGGACTGTCCCGCTCTGCTCTGCACGGGGGTGGCCTCACTTTGAATATTGTGTGCAGTTTTGGGTGCCACAATGTAAGAAAGATATTGAGCTCTTAGAGAGCATGCAAGGGAGGGCAACGAATATGGTGAAAGGCCTTGAGGGGAAGCCGTATGAGGATTGGCTGAAGTCACTTGGTATGTTCAGCCTAGAGAAGAGGAGACTGAAGGAAAACCTCTTTGGGGTCTTCAACATCCTCATGAGGGGCAGTGGAGGGGCAAGTACTGATCTCTTCACTCTCTTGAGGAGTGACAGAACTCAAGGAAACAGCATGAAATGGAGTCATAGGAGGTTAAGGTTAGATATCAGGAAAAGGTTCTTCATCCAGAGGGTGGTTGGGCACTGGAACAGGCTCCTCAGGGAAGTGGTCACAACACCAAGCCTGACAGAGTACAAGAAGCGTTTGGACAATGCTCTCAGGCACATGGTATGACTATGGAGCGAAGGAAATTAGGCACAGCATGATGAAAGATTTAAAATAAAATTAAATTAAAAAAAGCCACTATCGAGGTCTAGTAAAGTCTACAGTTTGGAAATGTGTGTGTGTTGCTTGGTGTTTGGGGGTTTTTTGGGAATATATCTAACAAATAGCCAGAAATTCAAGTTACAGGTCATACAACCTTTCAAAAACATAGCAAAGCCACTCTCTCTTCCAGGGTGGGCTGCGCATTACAGACATGTGAACTAGATCATTTAAACCAAACACTCTGGAAACAAAAATGCACATTATCCCACTATCCATTAAGGTAGTTAAAAAAAAAAAAGTCGCTACGCAGGTCAAGAGGAACCAGACCCTTAGTGACACGCTGAGAAGACACTCTGACACTCACCTTCTTAATAGCCACGATTCGGTTATTGGTCTTGTCCCTGGCCTTATAGACGGTGGCGAACTAGCGAGAGGGAGAGAGAGAGCGGAGGAGAGAGAGAGAGAGGGGGAGAGAGATGCTGCCGTGAGCAGGGCTGACGGGCCGTGTGAGGGGAGGCCCCCGCGCAGTCCGCAGGCCCGCCCGTGCCCCGCTCCCGCCGCGGCCGGGCGGCCACACGGGCTGCTCACCTGACCCTCCCCCAGGAAGTCGAGCTTCTCGTAGCGCTTGGCGCGCGTCCGCGCATCCATTGCCGGTGGAATCCGCAGCGCGAGCGCTGAACTACCCACAGGCTGGAAGAAGCCCCGGGATTGGGGGATCCGGGGCGGTGCTTTGAACCCCCGGCCGCGCCGCTTCCGGCCCCCGCCCCGCCCCCGCCCCGCCCCGGCCGCGGGTGGGGCGGACGCGCCACCATTTAGGAACGGGTGCGGAAGTCTTCTCGGGAATAGTTTGGGCTTGTCACTGTACGTGCCTGCTGAAACAGTCAAGAGGTTGTCCCAGAAGCTGCTTCTGTTTTGATCCCAGTCTCAGGTCTGCTTTCGGAGAAAACTCCGCATACTCTCTGCATAGAGAGAGAACTTTCGTTACGCAATAAACCCATTATTATTGTTTAGAAGGAGTGCTCTCAGCCACTTTATTAGATTTTACTGGAAAATCTTAATTATACTCTTAAAACATCTTCCTTATGAGCAATTATTTACAATATAGTTCTTAAAACTACCATTAAGTAGCTATCAGAGGTAAATACTTACTGAGAAATTTCTCATTTGAAAATTAATTTCCCTACCTGCCTAAGCTTTGCTGTTCTTTACTAAGTTACTCTGTGAAGAACAGCCATCACCTCCGAGAGTACATCAGTGTCCCTTTCCTGCCTGTAAAATCATTCCCAGTGAATGATCCTGGTAAGTCAGCCTCACCTCAACCCCTGGAAAGGTGAGGCTCATTCTGGAGGCCATCTGTATCTACATGGAGGACAAGAAGGTGATCAGGAGTAGTCAGCATGGCCACACTAAAGTCATGCTTGACCAATCTGATTGCTTTCTGTGATGAAGCACTCTCTACCTAGATGGATGAGGGGAGAGCAGTGGGTATTGTCTACCTCAACTTCAGCACTTGGACACTGTCTCTCACAACATCCTCATAGGCAAACTCAGGAAATTTGGGCCAGATGAGTGGACAGTGAGGTGGACAGCAGATCCCAGGGGATCACAATCAGTGAGGCCTGTCACTAGTGGTGTCCCCCAAGGTTCAACACTGGACCCAGTATTGTTTACCCATGACTTGGATGAGGGGACAGATGCCTCCTCAGCAAGTTCGCTGATGACACAAAGCTGGGAGAAGTGGCCAATACCCCAGAGGGCTGTGCTGCCCTTCAGAAGGGCCTCAACAGGTTGGAGAGATGGGCAGAGAACTGTCTGAAAGTCAACAAGGGCAAGTGCAAGTCCTGCACCTGGGGAGGAATAACCCCCTGCACCAGCACAGGCTGAGGGCCAACCTGGTGGGAAGCAGCTCTGTGGAGGAGGACCTGGGGGTCCTGGTGGACAGCGAGCTGTCCATGAGCCAGCAGTGAGGCCTCATGGCCAGGAAGGCCAATGGTATCCTGGAGTGCATTAGGAAGAGCATTGCTAGCAGGTCAAGGGAGCTGATCCTACCCCTCTACTCAGCCCTGGTGAGGCTTAACCTGTAGTGCTATGTCCAGTTCTGGGCTCCTCAGCACAAGAGAGACATGGAGCTCCTGGAGCAGGTCCAGAGGAGGGCTACAAAGGTGATGAGGGAAACTGGAGCATCTCTCTTGTGAGGAAAGGCTGAGGGAACTGGGCTTGTTCAGCCTTGAGAAGAGAGGACTGAGAAGGGACCTCATCAAAGTATGCAAGTATTTGAAGGGAAGGTGTTAAGAGGATGGATCCAGGCTCTTCTTGGTGGAGCAATAAGATAAGCGGTGACAGGCAAGAAACTGATGTGCAGAAGTTCCACCTGAATACAAGGAAGAACTTCTTTATTGTGTGAGTGACTGCACACGGAACAGATTGCCCAGAGAAGTTGTGGAGTCTCCCTCACTGCAAATATTCAAAAACCACCTGCACACAATCCTGTGCCATGTGCTCTGGGATGACCTTGCTTGGGCAGGGAGGTTGGACCAGATGACCCGCTGTGGTCCCTTCCAATCTTATCCATTCTGTCATTTTGTGATCTCAATTGGTAGAAAAATAAAATGACTGCTAAATTGTTGACTTTGCAAATGGCTAATTAAAAAAATATTTTAATTGTGCAGACATCATATATATTCAATTGCTAGTTACCCACCAACAGAAAATCCTTCTCAGTCACAAATTGGTATCTTATGTGTTGTATCAACCTTGTCACCCATCATATGGGTTTTTATTAAAGCTATTAGTATACAATAATTTTTAATATTAAGGAAATGCCTTTATTGTGAATATAGTACTTCATTCTTCAGCAGTGGCCAGCAAACTATCTTCTACACTTATTCTGGACCTCCACGCTGTAAAAGAAAATCAGACAGTTAAATTTCAATTCTATTGAATGTAAAACTGAGATCAAATCCTCTTTTGCACTACTGTAGACTAACAGAGCTCTAGTTTTAATTTCTGATTAAAACATTGATTTTTTTTATCTGTATAAGAACACGAACAGAGCGTCAAATATCAGCATCTGCCAATAACAGTTCAATTTTTTTCAAAGGAGAATAAAAAAAAACTTAACACATGCAACCCACAGTTACAGCTGCTTCCACTTCTCCCTCTCTGAAAAGACCTGAGTCTTACCCTAGAAAGGTCCAACAAACACAATGGTAGTGAACACAAGTTTTAAAATTACTCTCACTGCCCACATTCCAAAGTGCAAAGTAAAAAAAAAAAGCCAAGGTGAGCCATTACAACCTTTATGAGAAACTAGAAAATTATTCAGGTCATTATCTTCCCAAACAAATTATTTTACAACTTAACTCACTGTTAAGAAACTTTATGCTAGAGGTCAAGAAGTGTATTATTATTAGAAATACTGATTTTATTTCTACTACATTGATGCAGCCTACCCATGTACTTTCAGGAAAACTGATTTCCTCTACTAACATCATTATGCTGTACGTGTCCTTATCATTTAACAAAGCTTTGCAAGCATCTTTTCATTTCAAACTCACAATCACTTCACAAATTCTGTATATTTTGTGCATTCAGTATATACAACTAAGAATTCTTACAGAAGAAGCAGGCTTTTCTTGCCTTTCATGTACAATGCCATATTTGCAAATATTGTAGAAAATACTTATATCACATTTAATAAAATTTTTTGCTACCAGAAATACAAGCTCATTTACTAACATGGAACTTAGAAAACTAGTTTGAGAAATATTTTGGACTTTGATTACCTTTGCTGCTCTAAGAACAGACTCCTGTGCTCGTGTCCAGCACAGTCAAATTACATATTAAACAGCTGTTACAAAGCAGGTAGTGACGGTGATTAACATAGGCTATGACTGTCGCTAGCTTACCTGCATGTCTGTTCTAAGTCCACATCTCTCTGCTAGCAATACCACAAGCTACTAATCAGCGAGAGTTGGGTATCTTCTGTTTTAAGAATTAGTAGCTTGGATATTGTGCATCAAAGCCATGAAAGATCAGAGCAGTACACTCCCCAATAATTAGAATGTAATACCATAGAAGGAGGTGTAGAAATAAGCTAAAGAAGAAAACTTACTTGAATGTATTCAATCTCTTCATCTGACATTTGTTTCCTTCTGTATTTCTGTGGTAAGGTTCTTGCTAATTCAGAAGTGTCTGGTGTACCTTGTACTCTACTAACAGGTGAAATATTTTGAAATGCTGGTGATCTGCCTCCTATAGACTCTTGTGCTTTTGAAGCATGGAGAGATGGCACATGTGGTTGTAGAGATTCCTGTACTGAAACCCAGATCGCAAAATTTACAGAAATACTACCAGTCTGTAAAATTAATAAGCAACCAATAAGAGATACCAGTGCTTGAAAATCTTAGAATTAAGTTACTCTTTCTCACAACCTGGTTTTATTGTTGTTAAATGCATCGAGTGCAGAATCTAAAAATTCTGACTGTAAAATAAAGCGTGTTTGAGTGGCAGAAACACTGATGTAGAAACAGAAGATACATCAGCATATACCCTAACAATGGCTTTCTCACTGGGAAGCTATACTTGGAGAAAAAGCATAAAGTACTATAATGTATGTTTGTGAGCAATTATGTAGAGAGATAACTAAGCCAACTAAGATCACTTTTCATTTATGACAACTGTAAAGACAGACAAGTGAAAAAGAGGCAGAAGCTTACAAAAAGATAAGCTTACAACCACAACAGCAGACTCTAACATGCAATGTAGTGTTGTACCCATCTTTAATATTAAAAAATGGCACCATATCAAATTTTGTTAGTCACGTGCAGAATGACTACCAAGTATCAGGCGTCACCAGTCAATATTAAGACATCTCCTACTTTCATTTCAGATGCTTTGTTGATCCCAAAGGACTACTAAAACAACATATTGCTAATATAAATCTGAGGTTTAAATATAACAGTATTGGGAATACCATAAATATCAACATAGATACAGGTATAAAAGTTAATGGCAAAGACTGCAATGAAATTATTTTTTTTCCTCAGCATTAATTAGTAACATGAGGAAATATTTCTAAAATGTAGAGAGGGATGGCTCTCCCAGCTATAATCACATTTTGAAAATACAGCAGACATTGCACACTTCAACTAAGAAAAGATGAGGAAAATGCAACATCATTTCTGCAAATATCACTGAATATCTAAAGTTGCTTCAAACTGACTTGGGCACAGTTATTTCAGGTAAATATTAGTATTTGGAAAAATGTGACTTTTATATATATAAAAGTAGAAAAGCAGCACTGGAAACCTTTGTGAATCTGTCTTGATCAAGCAATAAAGACATGCATGCATTACGTGTGTACATAGATTTGTATAGAGTCTGTAAAGAGACAAAGAGTTGCCTTCAAACTAAACCAAGCATGTTTCAAAAATCCTGCTCCAAATCAGTTGAGTTAGATAGTTGAAAGAGAAAAACTGTGTGCTCGTTCCTATATAAAACAGTCCATGTAAAGAAATGTGGCACAAGCTGTATCTAGGCATGAAATACTTACTTTTAGGTCTGGGACCACTTTTTCTGTCAGGGAACTTAATTAATGGAGTATGTGGCTTGACTACCTAGAATGAAGCAAGGTAGTGGGAGAAACAAGAAGCACAAAATACATTTCTAGAAGCCAGTTACCTTCAAAATAATAAAATGGAATGTACAATGTATTAAACAACCACACTATACTGCTGCTCCCTGCACTACTACTCTGATACACTTACTGCTTCTTAAAGGTCTAAGTTTACCCCAGTACATTTCACTTTTAAAGGTATTTCTGCACTCTGATGTCCAGACCACTTACAGGTGTTATTTTCCTTTTCTCACGGCAACATCAGTGTGTGCAGAAACAGCCACTGCTGTTGCATAAATGCAATCATAATGCAATCTGCTCTGGTGAGATCGCACCTGGAGTGCTGCGCCCAGCTCTGGGGTCCCCAAAACAAGACTTGCTGGAGTAGGTCCAGAGCAGGGCCATAAAGAACAGAGGACTGGAGCACCTCTTGTACGAGGAGAGGTCTCTCTGAGAGACCCGGGGTTGTTCAGCCTGGAAAAAAAGAAAGCTCCGGGGGGACCTTACAACCCAAAGAAGGCAGATTTATACTAGATATAATGGAGAAATTCTTTACTGTGAGGGTGGTGAGGCACGGCCACAGGTTGCCCAAGAAGCTCTGGCTGGCCCATCCCTGGAAGTGTCCAAGGCCAGACTGCATAGACCTTTGAGAAACCTGGGATAGTGGAAGGTGTCCCTGCCTACAGCAGGGGGGCTGGAACGAGGTGACCTTTAAGGCCCCTTCCAACCCACACCATCCTGTGGTTCCATAAAGCTCTAGCAGACGGAATCGCGACCTGTACGTTCTGTCTGTACAAAATGCTTTCACCTTGGAGCCTAGGAAGGAGCTGCCGGCCAGCGCCGCACCCTCTGCTATCACAGCACCTGCGACACCCGTGGGCGACACCGCACGCCTCTCCCCAAGGACACCGGCCGCTCCGGCGGCGTGTCCTCAAGCCATGACCGCCTCAAGTCTCCTCCTCGGCGGCGGAACCAGGCGAAGAGAGCCCCGCCACACGAGCCAAGGCTTCGGCTGCCTCACCCCTCCGCTGTCCCGAGGCCGCCCTTACCTGCACCGCTCTGCTGGCGGCCGCCATCTTGCTGCCCATGGTGACGAGCCCGTGGGCAGCGCCCGGCCCCGCCCACGCCGGGGGAACGCCCGCGGCAGGCGGGGCTGCGCAACCAAACACACCGCCTCAGACTTGGCAGTAAAAAATACCCAAACCAAATCAGCCTTTTGAGTAAAATCAGCGGTTTATTCTTATTATCCGATCAAAGCCCACCTAAAAAAATTGCTAGTTAAAAACCAAGTTAAAAATGACAATATAGCCTAAGATAGAAAGAGACAGTACATGTCTCGAAACATGCTACACACCCTAAGCTTCAGCTTAGCTGCACGGTCGGTAGCATGAAGTCACCATTTCAGACACAAGTGGCTGTTAGAAGAACTAAGAGTATAAAAATTCTGCTGTTTCAAATTATACGAAGTGCTTTAATAGCAAAAAAATCTCAATTGTAAAAACTTGCTAAAAAGTATTTCCATCTTGGGCTTTCCACTGGGACAGAGCAGAGTCAAGTACCATGTCCGAGCTCTGCAGCCTGCTCATCCCCAGGAAAAGAGGACAGCAGAGCCTTGGTTTAAGTCCACTTTTATGTAAAAGCTTGAAATACACAGATTATTCATCTTTCTTGCATTATTGCTGTCTTTCAGAGAGAGATGAGGTTTTCGGACAGGACAACTATGAAGTGGGTCTTCAGGTAGTTTCATTTCATCGGTTGCATTACCCATTCAAACATTTGTTGTGTGTCAGAAATTTAATTTCACTTCACAGAGTTGCATGGACACATTCTGAGTCTCTAGAGAGAAAAACAACTTTCTGAAAGGTTAAATTGAAAAATTATTGATGTGTGTTAAAAATGAAAATATATTAATTATTAAAATGCAAATAAAATTAAACACCATTTCTTCTGATTCATGGAAGATGGACATTTTTTTCAAGCTGTAGAACAATCGCCTTTAAAGACGGATCTTCTGCCCAGTTAACTCCGCTTCCAATTATGATATTCTGTAAAAAAGGAAGATTTATTGATTAAAACAAGCTCAATAAAATAACTCAAAGAAAGCCTGTTTTTTAATTTTTAATTTTAAAGTCGTGAAATCCTCAACAGGGTTTGAAGTAGGAAGAATGGGGGGAAAGAGGAAAAAGGGAAGTATTGGTTTAGATCCTATTGTCAATACACTGCCAATAAAAAGCAAAGCTTTTAATTTCCTAGAGGTGCTTGCACATTACCCCTATTTTAAACACAGAAAATTAGAGGATTTTTTTTTTAATAATATGAAAAAAAGTTTGCCTCAAACACAAAATAATACAACTACCATTCTCACCCTGCCATTTTGGACTGAAAATGGGAATTCAAATTTAACCAAAGATTTGCTCTACGTACGGCTTAGAAAACTTTAGGAATACAAAACCAGGAGATAATTCTAGGACTCTACTCTTAAGCCCACTAAAATGTTTAATTTGTCATTCTCAATTTGAGATGTAACGGTGTGAGTGTGATCAATGCACAATAGTAGTAGCCATACCATGCAGTCCAAAAAGATGTGACACTCTGTCCTTGAAATTCTTTCTCTGCTCGAGGCCCTTCCACCCTACCCCAAATCATGAGGTTTTCTTCCTCACTTTGCATGACTCCACACTCCAGACAACCTGCCAGCCAGCTGCACAGATACAGACTAGTCAGAAGAACCTGACAGATGTGGAACTGAAAGGGCAAAGGCTATGCTGCTGAAAAAATCTGGAGACAGGCTGTGGCTGCAGGCCAAGGCTTTCAGAGGGTTTCAGTGGGTGACACAAACACAGAGGGCATGTGGTCAGAAGGAGCAGATGGAGGTTCAATGGTAACGTGGGATTAACACCTATTTATTTTTCCTAACTGTGAGATGGGGGAAGCTGATTTGGTGAGGTGCAGAGATGATTCATAGTATAAGGAAATACAGCAACTGCTGCGACAGATGTTCTAAAAGAATATGCATTATTTTTGTAGATTTTGTACTTTTGAACAAATATAGATTAATAGACTGTCTCCAAACTCTGTGAATAATTACTCCAAAGAAGTGTGTGACCATTTCATGTTTTTAGCCTCTAAAGAAGCAAAAGTCTTCCTTTCATACTGCAGTTTTTCTTTTACTGCTGTTACATAAAGTTTTTAGAAAACCCAATTTTGTGTTGTTGAAGTTACATTTGCCATACACTATATTATCTTGATTGTAATGAAAAATTGCAAACTTGGTTCTAAAAGACATAACACATTACCTGAAACACATTTTGAATTACTGTAGTCATCAATCTTTCTTTTTCTAAGTTCTGAAGCATCTTTGCTTCATCCAGGTTCTTATTTCCTTTTTCCTTCTTTTGTTTTTTCTTCATAGTCTGAATTTGCTGTAGTTTTCTTCTTTGGTCTTTTTTTAGTGCTGTTCCATCATTAGGAAGATGAAGTGTTAAGAAGTAGTTAGGTGAGCAGTAGAACTAAAGATACTCTTTTTTTCCTCATAGCCACCTAAAGAACTTCCACTGCAACAACCCTAGCTTCCCACTCCACCCTTTCCCTCCAATATGCCTCAAGATATTTCTTTCACATAAGAGGCAACACATGCTGTGGCTATCTGGTATCAAACTACATCAATTTGTTCCCTAGTTGTCAGCAGAACAGAAAAAGTACCTTGTATGCTGCCTGCATTTCTCTCAAATAGGGACTGCAATTTCAACATGTGTCTTATATCCTGTTTTCGACTGCCACAACTTTTATAGGTCTTTTTATAGACTTTTAAAACCATTTCCCCTTTTTTAGATTTGGTTGAAATCAAATTCCAAAGTTGTACAAGGAACATATGGACATGACCATTGAATATTACTATTTTTATAGGAAACCTGGCTAAAAACTAGACTGATTAAAACTGTTAAGGGACGGTTCATACACTGAAAGAATGCTGCAAAGCATTCCATCCCTTATTTGCAAGGATATCAAGGATGTTAATTTTTCATATGAAAATAGTTATTTCATTGTGCTTGTTCCTTACTATCAACATATACACAACTCTTTATGTGTGAACCAAACAATAGCTGTTAAAAACTGGTGGCAAATCTGGTCATGACAGTAGCAGCATTCAAAAAACACATTTACCTTACAAAGTTCTGAATACTGATTTCACATCTAAATTTGACCCATTCTTACAAGACTATATATATGTACTATTATGAGAGTTCTTTATAAGTAAATCCCCTCCATATTCCGCAAACACCTCAAAAAGGTGCAGTCTGACAAAAAAAAAATCTGTTAAGTGCTGTAGGGCTGATTTAAGTTACTAAATGATGTGTAATTTCCTGGGGGGCTTACACCAAATAATAAAATGCTGCCACGTTGGTTGGTATTTTCTTGCATCTCTCATTACAACATGTCAGTCTCATGTTCAAGTAGGCAGCACATCAGTTCATTTCTATAGTACTTCCCATGCTTTTAAGAAGTTTTATAATGGTGTTGAGAGTTTTGTTACTTCACGTATCAATTAATATTGCTATAAGAACAACTTCAAAATATGAACTGTATGTTCAAATACAAAACAAAGTCCATACAGCTAACAAACTTACAGAGTCTTTTCCTTTTAATGTCAATCAACTTCTGTTTCTTCTCATGTGCTAGCTGAAAGGAAAAAAAAAAGTATTCCTAGACTCTTGTCTCCAAAAAATATCGAAAGACACTAATTCAATCCACAAAAGCAGTTAAGAGCAGCTGTAGAAGCAGACTTTAGTACATCCTCTCTTCAAGTAATCATTTCAGTAATTTTGATAGCAGTAAGAACCTTTGCACCACATACTTAGCTTTAAATGACTTGTGCAGTCCTGTTGCTTTCAAAGTGCACTCCTGCCCATGCTGAGGTTGGTTGACCTGCACAACTGTAACAGAAGCTACAGTTGCCACTTACCTGCTGATATTTGATTATTGCCTGGCTGAGCAACACTATGCGATTCACTGTTTCCAGGATCAGACTAAAAAAGGAAACACAGTTGCATACCTTAAGACCACTAATATAAGTCAACATCATAAATGTTTTTATCAAGGTTATTTGGTTTAAATACAGAATTTCCCGTTTGTCCTGACACCAAAATAATATTAGGTGTCTGCACCCTTTCTTTTTTACAGTTAGTATACTAAGTATCATTGTAGGGGCCAAATAGTCCCCTTATTTCCCTCTCAATTTCCCTCTCAGTTTCTCTAAGGTTTTGGTTAAATCTGCTTAACATTTTGAAATCACAGAGCATGGAAGACACCAAAGAACCCTAGCCACCTGGGAATGGCTATGAATTAAAGGTCCTGAATTCTGGCATGTGGCAGAGACATTACAGAGATGCAATCTCTTCAGCTGCATTTCTGATAGAAATTAAATTTCTCGCATTACACTTCATATGTTTGTACCCATTAATATTGGGTAGGAAATTAAAAGTTAATTTTAAACATGTTTATTCTTTCAGTTCTTTTGCAAAGTCTCTTTGTTCCCACGTGAATAATTAGTAAGTACAGCAAAGCAGAGGCAAGGCCCAGTTACAAGCACATAATATGTTCTCAGCTATTGTAAATGCAGGTAACTCAGGCCCCAAAGGCAAAAAAAACTTAGCCACAAGCAGTTTTCACTGGTGAATCAAAAGTTAGATCTCTATAATCAAAGGTTGGTTAATTCAGAGCCCAAATGTAAATCCATTGTGGGTATATGAGGTCTGATCATGTTGATTCTAACCAGATGGTAGACAGTATATCATTCAGTCAAATCTAGAAGAAGGAAGCTTGCTTTCAAAAGAGGTACAATGAAGTAATCTAGAAATGTGTCACAATATGATGTGCAAAGTCCATTCCTTTCTAGCCATCTGACTCCAAAAAACACCTTACCATGAGTCTTTATCATCTTGTTTCATTTTGTTTCTTAGGGCAGCCATAAGCTGGATCCTGCATAGTGTAAGGAATAACATATGACTGATGAGAACTGATAAGAGATTGAGAGAAGCAGGAAACTGAAGGAAGCAGATTTAAATAACAGAAAAAGGTAATTTCCAAGATTCCATTTATGTCCATTGTCATATGGGAATTATATATACAAAATACTAGTAACATTTTAAATATCACACTTAAATAACAGAGCTTAACTCTCAGGACATGGAAGGAGTATTGATGATTATTTGTGAGACTGACAACTCCTTTCTCTCTTGCCAAACATACCCAGACATGATTAATCCCAGAGTGTGCAGAAAGGAAGCTGGGCAAAGGTGGAAATTCAAATGAACAGCAATGTAACACAGGAGATGTCTAACACTATCAAATTCTACCTTTTCATACGCATTTATAAAATAAGTCCAGGGAATACGCTTACTGATTTACACAGTCACACTCCCGCAACTGTGAGGGAACTTTTCTGTTTACGCATTTCATCTGGTAGGGTTTTTTTTTTGGTTCTCTACAGCATGTTCACCTGTATTCCTATGGTTCGATGGTACTAAAATCTCCCCACCTCCTCATACCCCTTTGAAATTCCATTTTAACGAGACTTATGTATATATGCATTTATGTGTGCCCACACAGGAAGGAAAACTCCAAATAAAGGGGGAAGAAAATTCTACCTTTGCAAGGCCAATGTCTTGTTCCAGAAAGAGACTTCTATTTCCTCTTTATCTGTTTGCAAATCTTCTGTGACACTGAAGGAAAAAAACCCCAAAAAACAACTAGACAGACAAACCCAGTGTGAAGATAACAAAAAGTTTAAAAGTAATGTCACATTTTAACTTTTTTTACATATATAATGTAAGAATTTTTCATGTGAACCACAAATTATTAAGGCCAGGAGTAATTTAGCATGTAGGACTATATTAGTGAATTCTAGCAATCACATGAAGGACTGCAAATTTAGAAGCCACATCACATAAAGAACTACATTAGGAGACTGAGTAAAGCATTTCTTCCCCACATTTTCTCTTCATTTTCATTATTTTCACCAAACTGCTGCAATGTACTGATTGTTAATCCAGAGATTCACTAAGAAGGAGTAACTAGAAGAGAACCTCCAAGCTCAGTTTCTAACCCTACTCCTTTTTATTTTAAAATACATTAAAAGTTCAAAGTTATCCAGTGACATACCCTTGAATATGCTTTTCCTCAACAACCTGATCGAGGAAAGTTGTTTCACCTGCAAAAGAGAACATCACTAAAGAAAGCCCAGTGTAGACTTTTACATACAATCTATAGAGCATAAAGGATGAGCATTTTTTGTGCAAGCAAGCTATTTCTTATTTCTATCTCCAAGCTTTATAATCTCTTTTACTGTTACTGAGACTATATTATCAATCAGCTGTATCAGATAAATAATTAGATTTTAAAATATTTTCATTTAGCACTTTTTAGATGTGCTAGAGCTGGCTTGTGGCATTGCTCTATATATGCAGCTGGATGGTTGAGAGGAAGCAATGTACCCAGCCACATCCCGAGCTGCATCAGAAGTGCGGCCAGGAGATCAAGGGAAGTGATTCGGCCCTTTAACTGCCCTTGTGAGACTCCACATGGAGTACTGCATCCAGCTCCGGGGTTCCCAACACAATAAGATCATGGATCTGTTGGAGCAAGCCCAGAGAAGGGCAATGAAATTGATTAGAGGGCTGGGGCACCTCTCCTATGAGGGAAGGATGAGAGAATGGGAGTTGTTCAGCCTGCAGAAGAGAGACTCTGGGATGACCTTACCAAGTCCTTCCAGTACCAGAAGGGAGCCTACAAGAGAGCTAGAGAGAAACTTTTTACTAGGGCATGTAGTACAAGAGGGAATGGTTTTAAATCGAAAGAGGGCAAGTTTATATTAGATATCAGGAAGAATTTCCTTACTTTGAATGTGGTGAGATACTGGCACAGCTTTCCCAGAGAAGCTGTGGCTACCTCATCCCTGGAAGTGTTCAAGGCCAGGCTGGATGGGGCTCTGAGCAATCTGGTCTGGTGGAATGTGTCTCTGTCCATGACAGAGGCTGTGGAACCAGATGGTCTTTAAGGTCCCTTTCAACTCAAGTAATTCTATGATACCCCATCTTGGTACCCTCCTTGCCGAGTCAGATAATCGACAGACCACCCTGGAAGTCCTCAGATGATTGAAACTCCTTAAATCACTATTGTTGCCACACACTTTGGTAGGCTTTTGGCAAGACTTCAGCCCCAGTGACCAGATTCCTGAAAACCCTCATGACATGTCAGAGGAGTCTAAAGTGCAAACCCAGAAAAGAGGGGAAAGGGCGACAACCATACGGCATCTTTGTAAGCATTCAAACACGTCTCAAGAGCCGCCTAGAAAACTCAGTAAAACGCGTAGCCAAGAAAAATATTTCATTATTGTAACGAGCACTTTTGAAGGATAATTAAAAACATATATATTAGCCACGTCGCATTATTAGACAGTGTAAGATCCCGCTGGAAGGAGGGGTGTGCTTACCGCCACGAACGGCCGCGCTGTATTCCATGAGCAGCTGCTTCATCTGGTCCCGCAGGCTGCGGCGGGGGAAAAGTGACAACGGTCAGACGTTGCGCATCCCGCCATCCCACCCCCTTCCCCCCCCAGGCTGCTCCCCGTCCCGTCCGCCAGCACTGACCGGAGCAGCTTCAGGACACCCACGTCGTGGCCGCCCTGGGGCCACGCCGGAGCCCTGCCCTGCTCCAGCTCCTGCTCCAAATTCCAGGACATGTCCGCCATCGCCCTCACTCAAACCCCGCGGCTCCCGGCGGCCCGCGCGCCCCGCGCCTGCGCAGAGCAGTGGGGCGGGGCCCGCTCTGAGGGCAGCGCGGGAATGTGTGGGTGGTACGGGCAGCGAAGGCAAATAAAGTAAAGCCGAGAGCAGCAGGCAAAGCGCAGTAATCCTTTTGTCTGACCTACTGTTCTCCTAGAGGTAGAGCCAGCAGGTGTAAGCCACTAACACAACTCACAAGTATACTACCGTAAATACATACCGAGTGAATAGACCTGTACTCTTTAAAACCATAGACTTCAGGGTTAAAAGAGACCTTTAAGATCAAGTGCAGCCGTCAACCTGGCACAGCCATCATGTTCACCATTAAACCATGACCATATTCACACTTTCTTTTGAACAGTACAAGAGATGGTGACTCTACCACATCTCTGGGCAGCCTGTTCCAAGATCCGACAACCTTGGAAAGCAGGTGTGTTTGTCTTAGGGAAGGTAGAGTACAGCTTCACTAGTTGACCTCCTCCTCAGAATCCCCAATACTTCCTAGCCTTTCTCCTTCCTCTCTCAGCTCTGCCACCGGGCTGAACAGACCATCCACCTTACACAACTCTATGCTGCTCTCTGAGTCTAATCTGGCAGATGCTCTGCCACACATTAGCAGAGCCTGTACCAATGCTCCCATCTATACACCTCCAGGGAGGACCAGCCACACCACCTGGGCTGGCCCAAGAGCTCACTCAAGCTCTCACAGCACTGGTCACAGCCTCCAGGGAGGTGCCCCAACTGTAGAAGGTTGCCTCAACTGTACTGCCCTCCTCCCTCTCTCCTCCACCCCCCTCCCCACTCCCCTCCCCGATAAAACCTCACAAATAGTAGCACGTCTTTAATAAGTTTAACACAGATAAGATGCTTTATATATTCAGTCAGGAGCATTCTGCTTGAGTTCACATGGATTTCCAACTTTTTGACTAGAGGCTCAGCGAGATTCTGTATAATAGAAGAGCACAACTGTTTGAAGGTGTTTATCTTGATATTGATACTGGTGGCATATTTCTTCATGATTGCCTATAGGGAAATAAGATTATGTTTTCCCCGTTCATGAAATAATGCTATTCCAGCTCACTTAAGACTTGGTGGTCGAGCCAAGCCCATTCTAGCACATAAGCTCGGGTTACAGCTGGCTCACACCATTTGAGTGAGATAGATTTTCAACTGAAGTGAGCAGGTCTTATCCAAGTCTGACCAGTGGCTCAGCTAAGGCAGCCCCAGCACACCATGTATTGACACTCAACCACACATACCCCCCACCCCGCACTGTAAGATTCTTACCTTCTGGTGGCAACATCCTTATTTACAAGGACTACATTCTTTGCCATATGCTGCATAATTGGTAGAAGGTCACCCTCAGTGTAAAACACGTAGCGCTGCAGAAACGGTAACTGAAAGGCAGGGAAGCTATTAGACAAACCTATTAGAATAATCCAAGCATACTATGTTCTTGGTCTTCAGTCTGGCTTGGGCAATTGTGTTCTCTTGTCTCACAGTGGGAGGTTAACAAGTACTGCCCTGCTGCTATCCCCTTGTAGTGGATGACAGGGAGACGGGAACATGGTGAAATACCATGAGGAAAGGAGGAGGCATGCACCTGGCCTAGAGTGGCCTTTCAAGCTGGTGCACAGGCACACTGAGTCTCAAACTAGGAGGTGGTCTGACAAGTACAATTTACCAACTCGCATCCATTGAGGAGTTTCAGAAGCAAAGAGAAAGCAGCTGCTGCAATCCTGGATGAAGTGATCCATATCATAGTCGACAATGCACAACTCCATCAGGTACTTGGCACGAATGTATTGTTTGGAGTCCACCTGCAGTAAGTCAGAGTTAAGTACTGGCTATATCCAAGGCAAGAGTACCCTGTCTAGCCTTGGTTTAGTCAAGAAAGAAGAAATACATCCTTAGAGACACTTTCAGAGCTACAGGCCTGAAGTTCAAGTGGTTTAATCACAGAGCAGTTCTGAGTTATATTAGGCTGCTAATAGTCTAGGACCACCCCTTTCAATGGCAGTCTAACAGTTACGTACAGTATTAGACAAGCATTTTAACATCGAGTTTGGGTGTGTGAGGCTCCTGTCACAGAAGAGACAAGACTTATTTCCACAGGGCTCAGTTGCTAAACTCTTGCAGTACTCAAAAGATTTGAAACATTTTAAGAAGTTGACACAAAAGTTGCTTTTTCCAGATATAGGTTACAGTAACACCTATTCTCAACACTACCTCTGCAATATTTGAAGCTCTCCTCCGGAAGCACAGAGGGAGAGGGAAACCCAGAAAAAAGTCCAAGGCTTTCAGGATTCATTTTTCAGTGTCATCTCCATCTGGCAGATTTGGAACTTCAAGTAAGAGTAGTTGGTTACATAGCTAAAATATGCAATATGTGGGGACCGCATCTCTTCATATGTGCTGGCAATGAACAAAGCTGTGATACTAAGCAGTTGCAACTTTATCTTGGGAACAGGATTGTTCTGTAGCAAGAAGCAGTAGAGATTTGATAGATTTGCCTCAGAACACAGGACTAAGCAGTTGCAACTTTATCTTGGGAACAGGATTGTTCTGTAGCAAGAAGCAGTAGAGATTTGATAGATTTGCCTCAGAACACAGGTTTTCAAGGTAGTCAGTGTAAGGTGTGTTCTATGGCGGATTCATACTGGCCCATACAGAATAACTATACATTCTCTGTTACCTCTGTTGGGATCTGCAGGGGGATTAGAAGGCTTTGAGACCAAATCAGGGAGAGGAGTAAGCAGTTTTGAGACATCAGGTCACTGCTCATAGCCGAGGTTTATGTGGTGCACGCATAAGGTGGTGCACACATGAGGACCAAACGTCCTTTGTTGTTTAACTGTATTTTGCTAAGGGTAACATGTCCAGCTGTGGCTTATTAATATAATAAGTAAATAACTTACATGGACCCGACTAGCTTCTTGGGGGTGCAGAGCCAAATCCCTTTATTCGAAACAAACGCCACTCTTTTATCATGGTTTCAAAGTAACACGTGACTCTCTTGACCAACCACCAAGGGCATTTCACTGCCCATGTGTGGGAGCACTTTGGGACTTTCTTTCCTAGGATGCCTCATCCAGCATCCTTCCTGTAACCCGACTCCTACATCTCCCCTCTTCTTTATTATTACTAGGAAGTACAGAATATTACATATAACAGTACATTTTAAACTTTGTAAACCCCCCCCTTACCAATGACCACTGCATCACCTTGGTCTTTCAACAAACATACTTATTTGAATTTTTACCTGCAATCCTTGAGATTTGCTTGACATAAATTTGTACTTTCATTTCTTAAGGGTTTATGTGTATTTGGGATAAACAACAACTTTATTAACCTGAGGGTTTTTGCATAACTGGGTAAAATATCAACTCTCACTTCTCCAAGGGCCTGCATGTAATTGGCAACCAGGAGAAATTCAACCCCATTTCTAGAAAAGGGCCCTTAGAAAACAATTGTTGTGATGTAAGTGTAATTTGTTCAAGACACATGAAGCATCTCTGTTCACACACACACATGTTCACACAGCTTCTCTCATTCATACAGAAGTGGCCACTTCACTCACACTCACCCATTTATACCTAGAATTTTTATTATGTCTCTATTTTTTAACTATACATTTAAGATTTATAAGTGGTTATTGGTTGCATGTTTTTCAATCTGTCACTTCTGGTAATTATGTCTGGCAACTGTACCTGTCTTGAAAATTTGAAAAGGAATTAATATGAAGAATGTAAGGCCTAACAAACCTACATTATGTCTTACCTGCTGTCTTCCCCCCATTTTTTTTGTTATAGAAAACTAAAAGTTAATAAATTCAAAGATACATTCACAAGTTACGATCACAATATGATAACATAACTTAAAACTCAGCATCTCCTGCAAACAATTAGATCAAGTTATCATCACAATAACACAGTATATAAACACAGTATATAAAACAAATTATCATTATAAAATGCTAATACAGTTTGAAACTTAGCATCCTTTGCAAGTAAACAGTTTAAGTTGTCTGTGGTTTTTAGAATGCAGTTAATTTTCAGCTTTTGTCCATCCATTTCTGTTAGCTGCTTTTTACTTTTAGTAACAAACTTAACGAACACGTTAATAACAATTTAAACAGTCTCAGGTGGCTAGTGTGGAAGAAACAGATGTAGAGGTTAGGCAAACACGTAGTTTCTCTGTAGCTTTTTGTTCAGGAATGGTCTTTTTTGAAGTATAGAAGAAGAAGCTATAGAAGTAATTTTATGCCTTTAATTGTCCTTTACTTCAAAGTTGAAGGTTGAGGTAAAGGCTGCCTCCCCTCACACCTGAGCTCTGAAGGGGAGCCGAGCACACCCGCAGCCCTCTCCACCAAGCAGAGACTTGGGAGAGCGGTGGAACCCAGAGGGCTGCCCTGCTGCACCCCTCTCTGCCCTCCGAGCTGAAAGGAGGTAAAGGGAAGGAGGGAGCAGGACACAGAAGGGCCGCGCAGCTGCCTCCCCCCCAGCCAGGACGACACCCCGCTTCGCACCCCCGTCCCCCCCACTCTGTGCCGGGCCCTTCGCGCACGTACCCGGGTGGCCCTTGTGGCCATGGCGGAGCAGAGGGACCGGACGGACGGGGCTCAGCGGGACCAGAGAGACAGGCAGAGCCCCGGCAGGATCGGGAAGACGAACCGCAGAAGAGACGGAGCTCCAATGGGATCCGATGGATGAAGCTTGGCGTGACGGCCTCGCAATTAAAAACTCCCACGGCCGCCATTCATTGGCCGCCGCGGCCCGGCCCACGGCGCTGCCCTGACGGTGGGCGGGTCGGGCCATCAGTGCGGGCACCGCCCCACTTCCCTGCCCTCCTTCCGTCTCGAGTGCTTTTGCAACCAGAAAAGTCAAGATGCAGTAAATAAAATATTACTGAAAAACATTAACTTCTTCCCCGTTACGTACACACATACTGTTTGCTGCAGGAATTTCCTTTAAACTTAATTGTTCAAAGCGTTTTGTTGCAACTCTCTGCGTACAAGTGACTTGCCTGTGAATTATCCAGGTATGAGCTCATCTTCACTGCCATGATCGTGGTCCCAGACACCTGATTTGTTTTGGGTTCTGCTGCTAGCAGCTGAAGTAGGAAATTGGCATTTGCTCAGAGGAAGCTGCGGCAAGCACGAACGCTTTTCAGTTATGTCAACCTAATGATTTGAAAAGACACAGTCACCCCCCCCTTCCACTTTTCACCTACCTGTGACAATAAGGTTTGGTGAGATACTGTAAAATCTAGTACAATCATCTCAAAATAGGAGCGGCACATGTAAATATTAACTGAAGCTTTTTGTTTGAGAATGGTTTTCAAAACCAAAAGATCCACTCTACTTACAGGCTGAGCATAATTGTAGCACTGCTATTCAAGTGACAAGCCTTCTGAAGGAGACAAGGTGAAAAAAACACCGCCAAATGCGTACATGGACAAAAACCAGGATCCAGCTCTGAGAAGGCTGCTGGCTCTGCAGCACTGTCCTGAGATATGAGAAGTTGTGATTTATGCACACATTCTTCATTATTCAACACAAATGCAATTGCAACTTCTAGAAACTTTCTGACCACAATTTTTCAAGTCAGTCTTGTACTGCAGATGGCATTTTAACACATCACAGGAGGAATAAACTCACTTAAGAGTGACAAAACAAACCACTCAGTTTGTATGAAAAGTTCCAGTCGCAAGAGAAGCAGAATTGCTCAAGGACAATTCAAACAGTCCAGTCACAAGAAAAGCCGAAAGGCTGAAGGACATTTCAAACTGCATTCCTGGTAAATCTGATCTTCTTATATAATTCCTATAACACTCTATCCTCCCACTAACATCAAGTCTGTTCTTACTATAATGGTACTTAGGAATCACTGAATACCATAAATGAGAAAACAATATGACAAAATAATACCGCTGTGATACATGGGATGATGAAAGACGTACTCACTCTTGCTAACATTCTTGATTTGTTGAATTCCAAGGAAAATATTTAAAGGCTGCAGACAAGCAAAAAAGGGGGCACAGGAAGCCTGTGAACAAATGTAAGGATAACTACCTCTCAAGATGTATGTTATTAACCTGGTGGCAGGCATTCACTAAAGACACGGATTTGTTTTCTTCACAGTATTAAGACAACAGCATGCACAAAATTTTCTGAAACACACTCTTTCACCTACGAGTTAAGAAATCACAATTTACTGTCCATTTCAGCAACTTGCCAGGTCCCAGACTACTGTCACAATTTGGTATTCTAAACCTGGACTGCATCCTTGGGTAATACACAAAAGTACAGCTGGCTACAGTACATCTGCAGCTGTGTTGTGGTATTACTAAAACAATTAAGTAAAAATAATGTATCTTGAAGAGGCAAAGTTTAGCTGAGTGCTAGGATGCTTTTACACTTCAAACTGTTGCATTTCCAGTTATTCATACAAAAAAGTACAAAAGATTTATTTCACAGAGTGGTTTGAGTTATGATTCTGAGTCTTCTCGGGAAAGAGAAAAGTGTCTTCATTTTTTGCCCCTCCCAATTTCTCACTGTTAACCTGTGGATTTCTCTTCTTAAAAAATAATTTGATACAAATGTAACATGGTAACATGTATTTGCTCTGGTGCATTAAGTTTAGAAATCAAATTTGTATGCTGAGACATAATAAAAAACCTGTAGTCTTCTATTATATAACACAGTGTGCAAAACAAATGGCTTCCTGATTTTCACTCCCCACAATAAACATGTATTTTTTTTCATTCAAAGTCTTCAAGCTATCTTTGAAGAAAAGAAAAATATTCTCCAGTTGATCATGTTTGCCTTCTGATATAAACTATTTCCATTTCCCATTGCTAACAAAATACAATACCAATGTTCCACATTAAAGAGAAAGTATGGAATATATCCGTGCTCATCTAGAAGTTGTAAGACTTCTGTTTAATAAATTCCAAGTACAGTATTTAAGATTTCAATTATTTTCATACATACAGCAAATATTCAAGTCCTTATTTCCTTTATAAAAGCATTTTGATCCAATTAAGAAAGACAGTATCCTTAAAAAAATTCAAATATATAGTACATTTGTTCCTGTACATATATGTTCAAGATCTCCTGGCAAAAATACAAATATGGAACCTAACAGCTTCACCATTTACACCTCCTGTGGTGAACACAACTTTATATCACATGATGTAAGTACCATCTTTGTAGTATTTCATGGATTCTAGTTGTTGAGTCATTGCAAGAACATCCTGAAATCCTGTACTGAGTCCGGACATGTGTTGAAAATAAGCCTCCTTCTCCACTTGGACAGTTAAGTTGTTTACACCAGCATCTTTCAGAATTGCTGTGACCTGAACAGAACAGTATGGTTAACATTAGTATTACACTTCATACATATCTCACAGTAACTTGCAGTGTTCTGGCTCTGAAATGCTGTACAGAAAAAAAAAACCCTATCATAATCATTACTTCAGAAAAGCCTTTGACAGCATCTTCCATATCAAGCTCCTGGAAAAGCTAGCAGGCAGCCCACGGCTTGGACAGTTGCACTGTCGGCTGGGCTAAGAACTGGCTGGAGGGCCGGGCCCAGAGAGTGGTGGTGAACGGGGCTGCATCCAGGTGGCAGCCGGTCACTAGTGGTGTCCCCCAGGGATCATGTTGGGCCCAGTTCTGTTTAATATCTTTACTGATGATCTGGATGAGGGGATTGAGTGTACCATTAGCAAACTTAGAGATGACAGCAAGTTGGGGGGGAGTGTTGATCTGCTGGAAGGCAGGAGGGCTCTGCAGAGGGACCTGGACAGTCTGGATAAATGGGTTGAATCCAATGGGGTGTGGGGGTTAACAAGGCCAAGTGGAGGGTCCTGCACTTTGGCCACAACAACCCCCTGCAGAGCTACAGGCTGGGCACAGAGTGGCTGGAGAGCAGCCAGGCAGAAAGAGACCTTTGGGTTCTGATGGTGGGAAGCTGAACATGAGCCAGCAGTGTGCCCAGATGGCCACAAAGGCCAATGGCATCCTGGCCTCTATCAGGAATACTGTGGCCAGCAGGACCAGTGAAGTGATTGTTCCCCTGTTCTCAGCACTGGTTAGGCCGCACCTCAAATCTTGTGTTCAGTTCTGGGCCCTTCAGTTTAGGAAGGACATTGAGGTGCTGGACTGTGGTCCAATGAAGGGCAATGAGGCTGGTGGAGGGACTGGAACACAAGTCCTTTGAGGAGTGGTGGAGGGAGCTGGGGTTGTTTAGCCTGGGGAAGAGGAGGCTCAGGGGAGAACTCATCACTCTCTACAACTCCCTGAAAGGAGGTTGTAGCCAGGTGAGTATCAGTCTCTTCTCCGAGGCAACCAGCAGTAGGACAAGAGGGCACAGTCCTAAGCTGTGCCAGGGGAGATTTAGTTTAGACATTAGGAAGAAGTTCTTTAGAGAGAGACTGGGCATTAGAGCGGGCTGCCCAGGGAGGTGGTGGAGTCACTGTCCCTGGAAGTATTTAGGAAGAGACTGGATGTGGCAGTTAGTGCCATGGTCTAGTGGACAAGATGGTGTTAGGTCAGAGGTTGGACTGAGAGGTATTTTCCAACCTAGCTGATTCTGTGATTCTGTGTGATAATGAAGAATTCAATTTTCTGGAAAGCAAAGACTAGCTTCAGAGGGTATGGCTTTGCAACTTCTGCACAGCAGATAATTCTTAGTGTCTTGCATAAGGAAATACGTATCTTTTGAAGGAAAAGAAAAACCCAAGGCAGATAGGTAGTGCTAATGCAATTATAAACTCATGATTAGCATCCAGATATCCCTACTGTTTACTGCCTGTTTTGCAGGCCTGTTTTTCCACGACCCCTTCTTTTCTCCGAGCAGATGTAGTGCCACTTTCAACAGTGAGTGTTCAGGCAGATGTTCTAGCAAACAACTCCTTATGTAGCTGATTCCAAGCTAGCAGGCAAGGGGCAGTACAGTGTTAGAGACCAGCTCTGAGACATTAATGGATAGCTACAAAAAAAAAAAATCACACACGGCAGCTTTAACTTCAGTCTATGACTGAAAAAGGACTACTGAGTAGGAGATTAAGAGATTAGAGTCCAAAAATTTTGCACCTTACCTGCTGTACAATTCTCTGTTCCATCACATCCGATACCACTTGGACATGTATTGTGCCTGCCACAACACTCGCAGAGTGACACCAAAAATGAGGATCTCTGTAGGATATGACTCCCTCTATTTTTTGAATCTGAAAAGAAATTACATTAGCAACAATTAAGAACTCATTTTAGAATTGTGTATGTGATATTGGTGGATAATATTTCACAGGGAAACAAAGCTGTGTAGCATAGCAGCTTTCCAACTAAGCCATATTCTTAAATATCTAGTATTGAAAGGTCACCTTGCTACTACTGTCCAACACTGGAAGGTAAAAGTCAAACTAAATGAAAACCCCAGAAGAGCACAACGCTAAACAAGATGAGAAACCCCCCCCCCCATATTTAGTGTACACATCACAGGAACATACATGGACAGACTAACCAGAATGCGAGCTGGGCATCTACCATTTCTAGGGCACCTGTTACCTCACTATTTAGCAGCTATTTAGTTACCACAGTTGAACTTAATTCAGACATAAATTCTTTCTGCAATTTATAATTTTTCAAATTGATCTTTGTTCTGAGTCTGATTGGGATGCTTTTTCACAGCAGCTGGTAAGGCATTGTGTTTTGGATTTCTGCCTACAACCCTTTTGATAACACACAAATATTGTGGATATTGCTGAACTGTCGAGTCTTTTTCTTTTGTACTGGGCACCATCAAGGCCTTCTACTTTTCTCTCTGCCTTTGCCTGATGGGTAGGCTGTGGGTGAGCAAGAAATAGGGAGGGGACACAGCCAGGGCAACTGATCCAAGTTGTTTAGAGGGATATTGCATGCCATATAATGCCATGCTCAGCAGTAAAAACTGGGGTAGAGGAAGAAGAGGGGATTCTGGCTTTCAAGGTGGCTGTTACTTGAGACTGCCTGGATATTGGCCTCCTTGTGGGAGGTGGTGCATTGCACTTTTCCCTTCCTCTACCTGTTAAATTATATTGTTTCCAGAGTTTTCTTGCTTATGCTCCCCTGTCGCACTGGCAGTAGTGGTGCTGGTAAAGGAGGAGAGTGAGCAAGCGGCTTGTAGGGATGCCTGGCTGCTAGCTGGGGTCAACTATTGTTTTATCACGATGTATCTTTTAAAATGCTTTTCCTATCACCTTTTAATGAATTGCTCTTTGATTGTTTTCAAAAAGTGCCTTCTTTTTCCCCAGCCTCCCAGAATTACTTCCCTCATCAAAAAGTGAAACCACTCTCTGCACCTCACTTTCCTGTCACTACAGAAATCTCTCCCAGACAAGTTCCATCTGTCCTTTTCTTTCTCATGTAGAAAAGAACACATTTCCCCCTCTAATAACTGACAGGACACATTCAGGATAGTCTTCCTTGAAGCCTCTAGTTGATGGTATTGTCAAAGCACTTTTAACTCTTTGTTTTACAGAGAGGAGTTCTCTGCACTGAGGTCCACACTATATTCTGGGCAGGAACTTAAAATAAGCCAACAGCAAAGACCAAGTACAGCTTCAAAGCAGACAGAAAAAAACCTAACTAGAATGAGAAAGTAATTAGAAAAAACAGTTTAACTTTTGCCATCTCACCTAATGTGAACCAGTATGCCCTTTGTGATATGGACAAATTAGAAAATCTGAAATTACAGGCTCATGATATAATCCTGTAGTCTGAACTGTTCGCTGCAAGGTTCAGGGAACTGCCATGTTACTACTAAATACGTTTCCCACACTGTTACCATACTTGTCTTACATCATACCCATAAAAAGCTACCCATAAAAGCAAAAAGCAGTGCAAGTCTTTTTAGCTGCAAAACAACTTTTATCAGTAGAACTACTAATCCTGTCGCATCTCTGCAAAATAGATTTTAAACAACTTGAGACATGAAGCTAAGACAATGGAAACTGTCAGACTGAACTACTTGAGTTGAATAATTATTAAAAACAGTTACAGTTTTGTATGTTTGTATACGAAAACATTTAGAATTGTACCTTTTCTAAAGCAGCATGCAGATCTTTCTCCTGTTCCGGAGGTATCCTCAACAAAAGCACTTGACAGGCATCTTTCAATAGTGGGATAACACTAAGAAAAATCAATGTAGCAATAAAGAGAGAGCAGAGTGGATCAGCTATGAGCCATCCAAATTGCTGAATAAATATCGTGGATACAATAACACCAACACTGCCAAGAGTGTCTGCTAACACATGCAGAAATACACCTGAAAACAAAATAAATGGAGTGATTAACAGTTCTGTCTAAAGTGTATGTATATGTTCAATAGGAAAAACACAGTAAAGCTTATTAAATATCCTCAAGCTAAACCAAATATCCTCTGCCTAACCTGGGGCAAAATACACAAAACATTTAGCTTTTCTAATGTTTAATTATAAATTATCATAAAACCAATTTTTACTCTATAGGCCAATGATCTAGGTAGGCATCCACAGATTTAACTAAATGTCTTTAAATTGTTAGTGGGATTTGTACTGTAATCATAATCATTTAACTCTCTATAGAGGTATCTACTGATCCTTAACCAGGAATAAAAAGATCAGTGTACACGTACTGACTCGTTAATGTGGACATATATTAGCGTATTGTTCAGTTTTTGTAAGCCAATTTTGCTCCAGTTTTACAAGAACATTGTCTTTTTTCTACTGGTAGGAATTTTATATTTTATACTGCTTTCATTGTGGGTTCATTCTCAAGGTACACTCAATGGGCATAGAAAAATACCCTCTAAGCATTTGTAAGATTAGTGCTAGTTAAGTGTCAGAATTGTAAAGAATACTAAAACTTGAGTATGGGCAGACTTCACAAAAATGGCAGACATAATGAGTATGAATAACCAGGATAATCAACTGAATTAGGACATAAAATAACCAATAAAATATGAGACTATGACACATCCTGACAAGCTAACACAAAACCCATAATTCCTTTATATATTTTTTTTTTCTTATAAGTCAGACAGTTGGCAAATAACTACTTTCTAACTACTAGGGAAAAAATTCTGTGTTGAAGTTTTATATATATTGCCATCTCTGTTAGCTTATGATTTCAGATTTGAAAGTTCTGTATTTACCACCTTATCTTCTGAGTCACAAATAAAAAATCACAATAGTCTAGACTCCTGGTCTGCATTTGTTCTCCTGCTTCTTACTCCCTCTCCAGTGTTTTTACAACCAGCTGCCACATGATATCTGCAAACATGGTAGTACCTTTATAGACAGAGATTTGGTACTTCCATTTCCAGGTTGAACTTAGAAACAAGGACTTAAAGCTTATAGAATAAAGTTTACAATGGCCATCTACTAATGTTGGTGAAGATTGTAGATTACTGCTTTTTATTGGTCCTTTGGTACTGACCACATCTAAGAAAGCTACGAAAAGAAACATTTCAAGTTAAGTTTCTTTAAGTTAAATTCACAAACGGTTTGAGCAATTCCTGTCTACCACATCTAAAGGCTGTCAGATCGCTCCTGGAGAGTTCCTGATGCACAGTACTGGGTATAATTCTGAAAATCTTCAAAGTCTGCTGGAAATCACATACATCGTTATGGTTCAACAATCTGTACTTGCCTCTCATGTTGGTATTCATGCCTCCTCCAGAAGACCCATGGGAATGTCCATGGCTGTGCCCATGATCACTATGGGAATGGCTGTGCCCATGGCTGTGACTGTGCCCGTGGTGAGAATGGCTGTGATCATGGGAGTGACAGCCTCCCCGAGAGGCTCCATGGGAGTGCGCGTGGCTAAAGGCACAGATACCAACAAGGTTTACGATCAGCCCTCCGACAGAGACTGGCTGTGAGAGGGAAAAAAGTCTTTAACTTCACTGCATCCTCCCAGGCAATCGAAATTTGTTTTCTAGTGGAAGCATTGACAGCAACACAAGAGTTATTCTAATATGAATCCCTCATCATATTCCTTTCACTATACAACCTGGTCTCAAAGAGGTTTTATTCCTCTTGCAAAAAAATCCACTTTCCACCAACCCTCCAAAAAAACTCCACCCAAACCCCACCACTTAAATGCAAAACCTAGTATTCACAGATCAAGACCAGATAACAAATTTTGTTTAAGAAAGGCTGATCAATTTTATTTCCTTTCAAAAAGAGATACGGTGGTTTGAATATAAGCTTTCCCTTGCTTTCACTGCCTCCCCCCCCAAAAAAAAAAGAAACTTTCATATTTTATCTAGGACATACATAATTTGTACTTAAGACAGCAACTAGTGCTTTATTGGTTGAATTATGGTTGAATTGTGCTTTTTATCTGCTTGCTTATTTTTCTATTCTTCTCTTGAAAATCTAGCAAAGCAGGAAGAGTAATTCCAGCTAATGAAGTAATTAAACAAGTCCTGCTTAGAGGTTAGTAGACGTTTCCTTGGCTATGCAGACTGCGCTCATGTTGAGAGGGTAACACCTTCCACTCCCAAGAAACAGGATCAGTAGTGAAAATGGACCAAATGTTGAAGATCAAAATGAAAGCAGAAATAAAAATCAAGCCTTGATTTCAGCAACGCACATTTATTTTTGTGCCTACAAAAAAAATCTTTCTCTTTGTTACAGAAGAACGCAGGAGAGCAAAACTTCTTGTGTATGTGGGAGAGCAAACAAGTGAAGCTGGATACGCAATCAATAAAGGCTTAGATATGCAGAATTCCATAATAAAAATAATTTGAAGAAAATTAACTATTGTATTAGAAAGAAAGGAATGCTATCTTGAAAAATTAAGAGGGGAGCCCCTGAAGAAGCTGTGGAAGGTAGAGAGACACAGGTATAGTTAAGATTATCTATGCAGATCATCATAATTGCCATAGTAGCACAATCTGCATAATATTATGGGTTCTGGCCCATTTTTGAGGTTTCTCAGATACTAAGCTCTTAGTCTAGTATTTTAAAATCTTTTCTGTAATAACTGACATTGGTATACATAACTGCAGAACCAAATTTAGTCTGGTACAGACTATTTCCTTACTATATTTTATTGTAGAAAGACCATCTTCTAAAAAGATTAGAGCTCCAACATCACTCAACTGTTATAATAAAATTACATTCAACCCTATATATTTTCATATTTTAAAATTAGATGTAGTTCGCACTTTAAAATTATAATCTGTTAAAAAGTCAAGGCACAGTTTAGATCCCTTGAGTATGCAATTTTTATAGAATCATAGAATGGTTTGGGTTGGAAGGGACCTTAAAGACCATCTATTTCCAACCCCCTTCCATGGTCAGGGACACCTTTCACTAGATCACGTTGCTCAATGCCCCATCTGGCCTGGCCTTGAACTCTTCCAGGGATGGGGCATCCAAAACTTCTCTGGGCAACCTGTGCCAGTGCCTCACCACCCTCAAAGTAAAGAATTTCTTCCTATTCTGATTCAGTTTAAAGCCATTCCCCCTTTTCCTGTCATTCCATGCTTAGGTGAAAAGTCCCTCTACAGTTCTCTTGTTGGCTCCTTTAAGTCCCCAGAAGGACTCAGTAAGGTCACTCTGGAGACAAACATAAATGAACCATTAACTGCAAAACTACATTTAAACAGAGTGAGAAAACTTACAGTTAGCATGTTTGTATCTATGTCTGGAGGATCCACCAGTCTGGTCACCGATTCCATGAAGACAAAGAAAGCAATCACCATCAGAAAGAGGCCATTAATAAATCCAGAGAGAATTTCTACACGTCCATACCTGAAAGTAAGCATAGGTACTTTTTAGAGTAAAGAATGGGTATTCTGAACAAATCTCAGTTATAATAAATAAAATTATGATATATTTAATACAGCATTATGATAGCTATGATATTTTTCTCAATGCCACAAAATCATTCCTCAATTTCTGAGTTTTTTATTTCTAACCAACAGGTTACCAGTTTGCAACTGTCCAAACTCCAGTGGAATAAAGCACTATTAATGTAAGTATTTTTTCATATATGATGCCCATTCGTGGCTTCAAATTGCTAAACTGCTACGCAACCATATAAAGCTTCATTATTTCAGCAGAATCTAAATTCTTAGCTGAACACTGACTTTTAACATATATTTTTGTTTGACATACATGCATATAAAGAATGAGGTAATTCCTAAATAATATTCACAACTTGTAGAGATAAATGAAAATTACATTTCAGGCACATTGTTTTACAGGGGTAAGAAGAGAACAGCATGAGCCCAAGTGGAAGAGAAGAGATACAGCAAAAAAACCACAGAAGCACACACTAGTAAAACATCCCAAACATGGCGGGGCATTTTGAAAATGAGCAAGGAAAGTAAGTTGCAAATAGTCCTTAAAGAACCCAATGCACATACCCATAGGAAAATATGCGAGTTGCTTTCCATCTTGTCATCAGAGCTGCAAAAAGCCCCATCACTAATGCAGAACAATCAAAAAGCATATGAAATCCATCAGAAATAAGGCCAAGGCTATTGGTCCATACTCCATAAAAAAGCTCCACAAAAGTGAAAGCCTAAAACAAAATAGAGTTTGAATTTTTCCTCAAATATTAACTTGTATATTAATGTTTTGGTAGCTAGCAGGAAATTCTTTTCATAGAACACTCAATATTTTTCAGAAGTATTGTTCAAAGTATTTCTAGATCATTTTTTCTCTCCTCCAGTGAAATAAAAGTGATACATTCCAAGTCTATGAAGACACATTTTTGAATCTACCCTCCTTAAAGCCTTACACTTTAGAAAACAACCCTCTGAAATTTAAGTTTTCATTTAGAATTTTAAACTGATGTTCCGCAGATAAAATTTTAAGCATTTTGCCATTAAACAGTGTAAGAGGTCTGATCTGATATATTATTAGTGTAAAAGCCATGCCGTCTATAAATCTGTTACGTAAACATTTTCTTCACCGGTTAAGTTGACTGTTAAATCTTAGGAATTAGTTTTGAGAAGGGTACACATGGAAACAATTTTAATACATACTTTCCCTGAACAATTTACTATGATTAATATGTCTGCCTAAAAACTTTTTTCCTATCTTTCATATTCCATAATGGAATGCCATAAAATTATAATGGATGCTTCAGGTTTCTCCCCTTATTTTCTTGGATAACTGGCTAAGAATGAAGAGAGATCTCTGCAAATGAGGTTCCACCAATATTGCTTACTGCATTATCTTTACCTATTCGATAAAGAGAGAAGCTAGAAATAAAACCAGACTGCTCCAAAATTACACTAATCAATCCCACACATTCTGTTTTGTTGTGTCCATCCTTAAAGGCCTTATCAGTTTCAGCTTACCCGCTGGCAACACTGAGGTGTGTTAAACACACGGTCAGACAAGTATTTAGTTAGTTGTGTAACAGTTACACATAGAACCAGTGCTGCCTGTGATAACAAATCAAAGTGACCTGCCCCTTACCGTAAGATTAGTATAAGAATCTTTTATTTTAACATACCATCTAATTAAACTACTCTGTCAAAGTCTCTTTAAAGACAATCAATTATGGAAACCTTTCAAATAATAACACTTCTTTCTATATTATGTATGCACTACTATGATTGGGTTTGAAGAAAAGACCGTGAACTTACCAGATTTAGGCACAAGAAATAGAAGATCTGCCTAGAATCATACTCCTCGAGAATTTGTTTCAGTGACTCCTTAATAAACCGGGGCAATGACTGAGAGCTCTGCTGTAATGCATCGCCCATGAAGTTATAGAGAGGAGTGCCTTCAGGGGAATAGCCAATAAGGGTACCCTTCTGCCCCTTCCTGGAGGGGGAGGACAGGATATTGGCAGCTGCAAGGAAAGCATTGAAGTGTTTGTTGCCGTTTCCAAGATTTACAGCTTTTTTATAATTTGTTGAATCAGTAATCAAAGTCTGTATAAAATTTGCAGGCAGCAAAGTGACTGTCAACTTCATCTTGAGGTTTATCATTAGATTTCATTGCTATGTAAGATTAGATCAGCACTTCCACAACAGATCTATTACCTTCTTTTTTTTTCATAGACAGACAATAAAAGAGCAAAATTTTACAGGCCCTCTTATTAAAGAATCCATAAAAGCTCATCCAAAAGACTTCTGCACACCTTAATTTTCTGACTAGCTTCCCAGTCATAAGGACAACATTTATTGCAGTTTAGATAGGAATACCTACATAAAATGAAGAAGACAGCACTCACTACCACCCCTCCAGAAAGAACATGCTCTGTGCTTTCATGGTGTGGTGGCTTGTTCATAGCTCGAAGCTGGTCTGTTATTGGATGTGTCCAAAAGTTTCCAAAAAGCAATGCACTAATGAAAGTAAGAAAGGATCCGTATCGAGCACATGTGGAACCTTCCATCTTCACAGAACATATGGACTCCACGTAGAAATCCAGGATCACAACAAAAAAGATGACTGTTATGAAAGGCATGATGAGAGAAGACCAAGACTCTACTTTACTCTGCAACAAAAAATAAATTTCAAACAGGACTGCTCACCTTTTGATGTGATTGTATATACAGCATTACATGTAGTTCACTTGAATTACAAATGTTTTCAGTAATCTATCAAAACATAAATACTTCTATACTTTCAATTTATCATATAAAACCAACATCTCAGATACAGAAAGACACATATATCTAAAATGCACGACAGTACCTTATTTTAAATACTTTCATGTTCTTAAAAGCAACGCCACATGCAACACCATGTTTGTAATGGTCTACTCTGCCTATGCATGTGGGTATAAAGAACATGTTTTTAAAACACAATAAATAATCTACTCCCTAGGGATAAAAGAGTCCTGTATTTATATAGTTGTTAATACTTGTGCAATATTTGTAGACAAACCCAAGATATAATATCTGAGCTAGAAGGATGAAATAAAGTTATCACACGAAAGAGGAAATTAAGGTATCACACAGATAAAAATCAAAATATAGAAGGAAACATAAAGAAAAAATTTCAAATGGAGCTTACTACAAAAATAAAGACATGAACTTTGGTAATTTTAAAGATATTTTAAAGGAAATATTTAAATTTCACTTGTCAAGCATTACAAAAAATGATTTATCTCTGTACTTGTTATCTTACCTCTGTCGTCAAAGACAGGATAATGACCCATGGGCATAACAGAAGGACAGAAACTAGATGAGACAAAGCTTGAAGACGCTTGGCTCCACCTACGTCTACAGACAGTTTTCGGGAAGCCATGTGAAAACCAACCTTACAGCACAATGCCAGTACCAGAAGCAGTACTCCGCCCTGGAAACATAAGGGGAAACTGTTAGCATTTCTGAAGACCCAAAACCCCCATTCCAAACACAGTGGCACTTACATGGAGAAAAGATTAATGTGCTTTCCTTAACTTGGCAATAAAAACTAAAGACAGGATATTTCCCGTAATTGTTGCTTAGTTAAAAACAGTAACATGGTTATACCTTAGCATTATTCACAACAGCCTAATATGACTTGAATTTTAAAACTCTCAGTAGTGTTAGTTGTCATACAACAGCAGTGAAATGGTAACAAACAGCATATGAGGAAAACGAAAAATCTCACAAAGCTTGTTTTCCCATCTTCCATTATTAAACACATGTTGGAAGCATACATAAACCCCCAAAGGTTCACATCACCTTGACCCCTAAGCCTTTCATAACCTTTCATCTACTTACCTTTAATCACACCGTATCATATTTCTCCACATTATTTTCTTTCAAAATTGTTCTACAAATTAGTCACAAGATACACACAGAGCATCTTATCTCCCTCAGATCACACTTGCTTTTGTGCACCATTAACCAGTCTAACATTTATTTTTATATTAATACTTTCTCAGCTGCTCTGTATTTTTTTCTTGTTTTAGTCCTCACTGCAGCCACTTTAGCAGCAAGACTAAGCTAACACAACAACTCAATCAGGTGGATCAACCCTGTACAGTATGATTACGATACTCAGCTAGTCATATCACCAACTACAATGGGACTATGCTGCTGAGAAGTATCAACATCTGTGTCTTCAAGTACAAATCTAATGTAAAGGAAAGACTGGGGAAAGATAAAGAAGCAGCAACAAAACACAGACTGCAAAAGTGAGTAAGAAATGGCTTGTATGCAAAGCATTATGAACATCCAGAACACTGATGACAGAATACTTCATGATAATTTTAATGAGACTTTTTAGGTTATGCATTACAGCAAAGTCCTTATCAGCTACAGAGGTTGAACATTGTACAGTTTGGTTTGCTGTATTGAAGCTGCTCAAACTCCTATCAAGATGTAAAAATTCCAATGCTAGTTCAGTTCCAATATGGGGGGGAGGGATGCTCAAATTTTGGGTTTGATTTAGGCTTGGATTAGCTCTGAGCTGGTGAAATTCTTACCTACAAAACTTAGATAAATATTAACCTTCTACAATACAAGTTATTTACCTTGTGATCTGCAACACCCAGGAAAGCAATGATTGTATAGAGAACATGGGTAAGAGCACTGTCATGATGCCCCTCAGCTAAATTAAAAAAAATTAAGGAAGAGTTTCATTTGATGATTTTGTTTTAAACCAAAGAACAGGCAAAAGTAGCAAAAGACCACAGAACGCAGAAGTAAGCAAACTGAGCTTTAAGGTGTGTTGGCAAGTGGAGGACAGACAGTGGATCAGGCTCAGCCCTCAGCACGCGTTTGTGAAAGGCATGTCCCGATTGACCAACCTGATCTTCTGTGACAGGATTACCTGCCTAGTGAATGAGGGAAATGCTGTGGAAGTTGTCTGCATGGACTTTAGTAAAGCCTTTGACACTGTTTCTTTTTCCCAGAGAAACCAGCTGCTCATAACTTGGATGAGTGCACTGTTCCCTGGGTAGAAAAGCTGTCTGGATAGTTGGACCCAGAGAGTGGTGGTGAATGGAGTCACATTCAGCTGGTATTCCATCACCAGTGGGGTTTCTCAGGGCTCAGCACTGGGGCCAGTCCTGTTTAATATCTTTATCAGTGGTCTGGATGAGAGGATGGAATGCACCCTCAGCCAGTTTGCAGGTGACAGCAAGCTGGGTGGGAATGCTGATTTGCTGGAGGGTGGGAAGGCTCTGCAGAGGGATCTGGACAGGCTGGATCTCTGGGTCGAGGCCAACAGTACGAGGTTCAGCAAGGCCCAGCGGCGGGTTCTGCCCTTGTGTCACCACAACCCCAGGCAGTGCTACAGGCTTGCAAAAGAGTGGATGGAAAACTGGGGGTGCTGTTGGGACAGTGGCTAAACATGAGCCAGCAGTGTGCCCAGGTGGCATCTTGGCTTTTACCAGCAACAGTGTGGCCAGCAGGACCAGTGATTATCAGCGCTGGTGAGGCCACACCTCAAATCCTGCATTCAGGTTTGGGTACCTCACTACAAGAAGGACATTGAGGTGCTGGAGCATGTCCAGAGAAGGGCAGTGGAGCTGGTGACCATGTGTGAGGAGCAGCTGAGGGTGTTTAGTCTGGAGAAAAGAAGGCTTATCACTCTCTACAACTACCTGAAAGGAGTTTGTAACAACATCAGTTTTTTCTCTCAAGTAAAAGGAGAAAGGACAAGAAGAAATGGACTCAAGTAGCACCAGGGAAGTCTAAGATTGAATATTAGGAAGAATTTCTTCATGGAAAGGATTGTCAAGCATTGGACCAGGCTGAGTCACCATCCCTGGGGGTAAGGTATTTAAGAGACATGTAGATGTGGCACTTAGGGACATGGTTTAGTGGTGGGCTTGGCAGTGCTGGGTTAATGGTTGGACTTGATGATCTTAAGGGTCTTTCTTAAGGTCCCTCCTTACTCAGGCCTTTCTATGAATGAACTCACTGAAAAACTAAGTGAATTAACCAATAAGGTTCCAGAATATAGCGTTTGCAACTGTAATTTCATGTTTTTATCCTTCTTTTGTAAAATTTATTATTTTTACTGCCCATCGTTAGATGTACTATTTTTTGTCAGTACACTATGATGAGATGATCAATTGAAAACTTTCTTCAGGACCGCTTCAAATTATAATTTAATTCAGTATACTCAATTTCACATTCTCTCTGCTCCAGTAATAACAGTCACTTGCTCTTACACATAGCAATAAAGGATACGATGTTCTGCTATTTTAGCCATGAGGTCATCATTATCAAAAAGCAGTAAGCAGATGACAGCTATGATGAAAAATGCAGCACCTCTTGTCTGTAAAAAAACCCAAACAACAAACAGCTAATCAACAAAAAACCCCAAATATTTTTATAATAGATTACTATTTTTATAACAGATTACTATTAAAAAAATCCTGAAAAATCAGTCCCCTCCCTCCCTGCTTCATGATCATCGTAAGCACACTTCAGTAAGAAAAACATGAATGAAACACCCATTTTTTTAAGAAAGTGATCTTGACGATATAATTTCACATTTTTTTCTGGTTTTCAGATTTATGAGATAACTCAGGACACATCACCACCGTAGCAGGCTAGAAGCCTGTATCTTACAAACTTCAAGTGTGATTACTTTCTTCTTCATGGTGTGTTTCTGCCTACCAGAATGCACTGCTACTTCAGCCTGATGATTTAATACTTTGTAACATCAATGAGCTATAAACAACATCTGGTGGACAAAATGTCAAATTTTCTCCTAGGGGAGGAAAAGGCTAGAGAACTATGCAAAGGCTATGAGAAAGAACAGCTCTGCAGTACTTTTGTGGGGAAAGGGCAGAAGAAGCCATGAAATCCCAGCTAGCAGAGCTCTCACCACCCAGACTTAAGCCACTGGAATTTTGGTATTCATCATTTTGGAAAGATAATGAGCTCTACATCTGAAAAATACTACCACAATTTAATTTTTGAAGACAAATAGAACTATCATATTCTTGTTTCAGAAAGTCAGCTGACCAGTTCACTTCATTAAGCTGAAATGATTCAGAGGACAGGGTCACGGTTCTCTTGTTTCTGCTGCCGTAAGCCATGCAGCTGAATTGCCAAACATGGCCCACTAAGATACAGATTGACAAAGAACCTCTCTGAAGCTCTTACCTCTACTCTTTGGGTGGCTGACTAGAAAAAATAATATGTCTTCTAGATGAAGATCTTCATGCGGCATGCCCTAAGAGTCTCAGTTTGAGGGGGGTATGCAGAGCCTGTTGGAGCAGATGACTGTGCTATTCACTCTAAGGCCAGCTTAAAAGCGCTTAGGGGACTCCAGTGCAGCTTTGAGACAGAGATTTCAGAACTCCCAGCCTGAGGTGGCATCAAAGTGAAACTTCTCTTACACAGCAAGTCCTCTAGCCTCAGATATATGACAGTAGGTATCCTCCTCCAACTCTTATTGGTTTTGAGTGGAAGTGGACAAGAATACTAGGTGTTGAGATAAGCTCATTCCATTTAGGGGTAATTAGGCACATTTAGAGCACACCTTGCAAAAGTGAGTGTAATGGGACTTAAAGGATATCTCAAGTAGAGGTCTCTGATTCAGGGAAAGACTGGGCCCAAATATTCAGCACATACAGGATCAGGCAGACATGAAAGTACTTACAGAACTTTTTGGCAGAAAAAAACCAGAGTATGTGAAAAGCTAAACACATTGAAGAGTATAGGCCAGCCACTGGAGACTGTGTTGCTGGACTTCAGTATGTAAGGGGGAGGACCACTACATGAACATGTCCTTTTGTCATTTTGAACCCAAAATCCCATTACAAGGAATGCTGAAGTGAAAAAATAATTTTCAAGGTTCTTTTCTGCCTACAAACAGAAAAACTTCTCAGGTATCTGCTACAGAGCACACACAGCTTTACCCACTGTTTCTCTCAATTTCACCACTAATTAAACTAAAAAAAGCACATGTTCTACGAACATAGGTCCAAAACACAGTTGAAGAAGCATTTGAATTTATAGCATTCAGTATCTTCAACAATTGGTAAAATAGATTTTTAAATACCTTTGCTGGTCCTCCACCTGAGCTTGTGAACAAGACACTAAAGAGTGACAGCACAACCAAATCACTGTGCTCAAACAGCAACAATGTCCTATAAAAAAGTGAAATAAAACACCTAAGTCAATTTACAATGAGTTTATCTCACAACCTTGATATATACTATTTCAACTAAGATTAATGACACACCAAAGATTTATCCTGTGATTTCAACAGCAAGTTTAAACAATTCAAAAGGATAAATGCAAATCTATTTGCCTTCACCAGCAGACAGATCTAGCTGCAGACAGCCAGACATATCAAAAAATGAGGACTTCCTAGCTCAAGGAACAGATTAAAATTATTCATTTATAGATAACTTTAAACTGTACTTTCTTCTAGCAACACAACAAGACACTAACTTGCTCAAGATAGAAGTATTATTCCCATTACAATACCTCCTCTAAACCAGTTGCTGGCTCCTAGAAAAAAAGAGGTCCTGTTCTGTAGTATTACATCCTTCTTATTGAGGTGCTGATGGTCTAGTAGTTTATCCCACCTCAGAACCTCTTAATTGCTGAAAATACCAAATTCTAACTTATATCTCCTTCAGACAGCAAAGGCTGACTATAACAAGCTTGTATTGACAGCTTTCACGAGCAGAACATGAAAGTAATCATTGCTGTCAAGTTTACCAAACGCTTTTGCAATCCTCTGCATAGCAATACAACCTGCTAGGACCCATGTTACTGGTTCTGTTTGGGATGAATGCCAGCATCCAGAGAGGCACTAGAGTATTAACTACATTAACATAAATAATCACAGTATTATGACTCTCAGGTATGCATTCTTCACCTTCATAAAACTTCACCTTCATAAAATGTATCCTTTAAGTCTTTACCTTCCTCTCTCTAATGAAAGATGCTTTCCAATATATTAACCTTAATTTTTGGAAGTCTAATGTTATTCTTTTATAGTTACTCAGTCAGTACTACTAGTAAACAGCACGAGTGATTTTACTCTGAGTGTGTGCACTAATGTTACCCAATTCCAACACAGTCCACACGGTCGACCAGATAAAGCAGTACTCTGCAACAAGTGCATAAATTGATTCTAGTCACCTGCCACAGGAATACCAGCTGCTATCACTAGCTGTCAAGCCATGGACTCCAAAGAGGAAAGTAAGCAACTGGCATTACACTAACGGGACTAGGGAAATTATGAAAACTACAGTCAGTAAAACAGATGGTGACCTTCATGTATCATCACGCGTTTAAGCACTATCAAGAATTTCACTGGCATCTCACCAAAGAATTAGTGAAGAAAATTACCAGTTCTATGGAAATTATATATAGTTTTTCCCAACCACAAAAGAATTCACAGGAAAAAGCATAAGGATTCATTTAAATTTTCAAAAAATACATCAAGTGGCTAGCATCATGGACTGACAAACAGAAAACAAAAAGCAAAGGGGCAAGACAGGGAAGGATGACAATAGAAAAACAATATTTACAGTAGATATATTTACCTCAGTGGTCCACAAAGAGTGAGGCCAAAAAACCACAAGAGTGAAATGATACATCCGACAACAGCATGCTTAAAAATTCTGACCCACTGCAAAGGAAAGGTATTTCCTTATCATTTTCTCCAGTTTAAAAATAAGCACCCCATTACTAGCATTCTTTTAGCACAGTAGCTATAGAAATTGAGGGGAAATCGTGCTTTGCAACAAGGTAAAGTACTTACGACAAACATCACATCTTCAAAATCCAGAATTTTAAATTTTTTAGCAATAGTAAAACCATATAGGGGCAGATTTTTTGGAACTCAAATGAAAGATGCAGTTTATTCCTGTTCACATTTTTAAAATTCAGCCATACGTGTCTAATGATGAAAGCAGTTGACACTTGGACCACGCTATCCTTCAGATTCTGTCTACTTAGCACACACACTGGGTTGAGTTTTGCACACACAATTACATAAAACCAAGATGAATAAGAAGCAGGTGAAGAAAATTTATTTCTTACAAATCAGCAGGTTCCAACCTGGGCCTACCCTAACTCCTCAGGATACTGAGAACTCAACAAAGGTCTGATCAGCCCCTCATCACGTGCAGAAAGGACTCTTTTGTCATGGGGGACAAGACTGGAGCATTTCAACATTCTGGCAGTCCAGAAATTGCCCTTCTGACTGTCTAAGTCAGCTAAATAGACTAAGCTCTTTTTGAAAATTCCATTCCTCAAAGTAGATGCTTGTATGAAGATAAGGACCAATGTTTTCACTATACTCTCAAAAGGAGCTGACAAAAGCTAAAAATGCTGATGATTTTTGTGCACTAGACACTGAATTAGTTACACACTTTTAGAAATTGTTAGCACATCTTCCAAGTGGAGTAATCTTTGTTCTACTTCCACTTTTGGCAAGAGCCACATAGCCAAGAATATTTACAAAGATGTCAATTGCTATTCCATATGTCAACTCACCTGACGCTTGGTCACCGCTTTTCCAGATGAAAATGGTTTTTGAAACAAAACCATAAAAAATGCAGACCTGATAAAAGAGGAAAGTTTTCGCTATTAGTGTATTAGCTGTCAGCTTTTTATCCAAACCAGCTCTAAATAACTAGGTCTCTCATATCAGGCTCAGTTTACAAAATGGCTTTCCCTACAATTTTTTCATTAAAAGGCCACGCTGATCACATTCATTGATTTTGATTTCCCTGACGCATTACTTGTGTCACATACCAGTACTACAGCGATGACAAGTGAAGTTCAGTTCTGGTCAACTTTAAATGCAAGTTCTTGAGAGAATTGCTAGTGAGAATTGCTATTTTTGATTTACAAAAATAAAAAAAACTGATCTCAGAAGTTCTGAGGAGAAATAATACTCTGATTTTTATTATCAAGATAGATACACCCAAAGGTTTACTCACACATAGAATGCTGTATATACAGTCCTGTTAGAAATGGTAAGACACAGAACACAAATTCTTCAACTGGGATAAAAGTGATGGGGAAAAAAAAGACTATGGTGCTCGGGAACATGCAAGAAAGAAGTGCAGATATATAGACGAATTTGAAACAAAAGAAAAAATAAAGTTCCAAATATTCCAATTCTGCTAAGTTTATTACATAAATGCTCTTCCACATGGCATCATGTAAACATGAAGCAGGATTCTGTCTGCAAAGGTTGTTCTTCATATATGCTATCAGTTTCTATACCTTAGCCCTCAATGTGGGAAAAACAGCAGTTGAAACTCACAAGAACTACAGGAATACAAACTATAAAGAAGAAATCTTATCTTCTACACTCTTGTTAAGAAAATTAAAAAGACATGCCTGAGTGTCCTGGTTTTAGCTAGGATTGAGTTAATATTTTCTTAGTAGCTGCTACAGGGCTGTGTTTTGAATTCAGTATGAGAATAATGTTGATAACATACTGGGGGACGTACCTAGAGTTGGGGGCTGATCATGGTTTGGGGATGGGCTGGATATTGGTCAGTGCACGGTGAGCAGTTGTATTGTGCATCACTTACTTTTTCTTGCATTTTTTTATCTTCCTTTTATTAATATATATTTTTTCACTTTTTATATTATTAATAATTTATTAGTTTAAAACTTTCAATTATTAAACTGTTCTTATCTCAACCCACAAGTTTTGCTTTTTCTTTTCCTCCCGATTCTCTTCTCCAGCCCCCTGGGGTGGGGGGAAGTGCGTGTACAGTTGTGCAGTACTTGGCTGCCAGTCAGAGCAACTGTCACAGCACGACCAATTTTGAAGTAGGAAAAACACTTAAGTTTCCCAAGGGCAGACTGGCCTTACAGAGACATGTGGAAAGGCTAGAGAGCAGGGCAATAACCAATGGTATGAAATTAAAAAGAGCAGGTGCTGGGTTCTCCATCTAGGGTGGGTAACCCTGCATGTATGCACAAACTAGGGGACAACAGGCTGGAGAGCAGCCCTATTGAATGTCTGGGCTGATGGCAAGTTGAATATGAATCAGCAGTGTGCCCTGGCAGCAAAAAGGGCCAGCTGCGCCTTGAGGTGCATTTACAATCAAGCACAGCATCGCCAGCTCATTGAGGGAGCTGACTGTCCCACTCTGCACTGCACAGGTGTGGCCTCACCTCGAGTCCTGCGTGCAGTTTTTGGCACTTCTTATAAGAAGGATATCAGACTGTAGGAGTGTGTCTGGAGGAGGGCAGCTGTGATGGTGAAAGGTCTTGAGGGCAAGAGAAGGAGCAGCTGAGGTTGCTTGGTTTGCTCAGTTTGGAGGAGCCTGAGGGGTGACCTTATTGTGGCCTATAACTGTGGAGCAGCAAAGGGGCAGGTGCTGACCTCTCTCTGGTGAACAGTGACAGGACATGAGATGGAATGAAACTGCACCAGGGAAACTTCGCATTGCGTGTTACAAAAAGTTTCTTCACTGAGAAGGTGGCCAGCCATTGGAACAGGCTCCCAGGAAAATGTCCCAGCACCAAGCCTGTCAGAACCCAAGGACAAGATTCTTGGTCATATGGTTTAGTTTTAGGTAGTCTTGTGAGGAGCAGGGAGTTGGACTCAATGATCCTTATGGATCCCTTCCAGCTTGAGACATTCCAAGATACTGAAATTATAGTGAGCAGAGATGTGAAGCAAAAACACTCCTGCGAACAGAGTATTTCTTGGATTCACTGCTATGCCTTCTACTCCTTGAGTATCTAGAGCAAAATAATGCAGGATACAAGCTTGACGCTCTCACAAAACACCCCAGACAGAGCACGTTGCAAGGGTAGGGCACAAGGCTGCACCCTGTGCACACTCACCCCAGCTGCACTACGAAGATGAACTGTACGAGGTGGACCGCTTTCAGGATATCATAGGATTCAAAGAGGCCCACGGCTTTCAAAACCTTGGTGAAGCACAGCAGCACGATGTACCGCGTCAGCCTGCGGAAGGAAAGAGGCCGGTTCGCACCCGCCGCCGCGCACACGCCGCGACCGCGCGGGCCCGGGGCCTCAGTGGAGGGCGCGACCCCCACCGGCCCTCGGGCGACCCCGCCGCTCCCCTGAGGGAGGGAGCACCCAGCGGAGCGGCCGCTGCCCCCCTCGGCGTTACCGGGCGCTGGGCACATCCACGGGCCCCAGCGCGCCGCCGCCGGCCAGGGCCTGCCCGCCGTACGGCTGCTCCATGGTAGCAAGGAGGGAGCTCCTGCACGGAGCGGCTGCGGGCGCTTAGACGTTCGGGCGCGGCCCGCCTGTCCCGCGCCGGGGGCACTTCATCCCCCGCGGGCAGCGCAGCGGGACGAGAACCAGGAACAGGAGCCGGGAACAGCAACCGACGGTCGGCGAGCGCCCCCCGCGCGCGTGCGCGAAGCAGTGCGCAGGCGCCCCAGCGGGGGTTGGGGCGAGGCCGGGAGCTGTAGAGGCGGGGCCGGGGTCGGTGAGGCGGGACCGGGCCGGGGCTCCCTCCCCCCGGGGCGGGGTCGGAAAGGGGGGGTGGAATTCCATACTTTTTTTTTTTTTTTTTTTTTTTTTTTTTTTTTTTTTTTTTGTTAACCCTGTTTATTTTGTATATGTGCAAAGACCTGGGCCAGGATCGAGCACCAGGAGAGAGTCTCCCTGCTGACGGCTCCAAATATCCAGTTGAAATTAATGGGAGAAATCGAGGTGGAAGGTTAGAAATGTCCATATTGTGAGCTAGCTGCTTTCTTCCAGCTGTATATCAAACTGTCTGGTTTGGGGACATCCCAACACGTGATTTTGGTACTGATATCTACATGTATATATAGAGAGAGACATATACTGATATCTTGAAATAGTCTCAGCAATGATCAGCTGCATGTTGGATTTCTTTGAAGTAGACTTGGTAGACTTTAACTAGGAAGAGAAGGAGGAACAGGAGCACAGAGGAGTGTGACTGCTGACAAATGAAATATTCAGAATTGCATTGGTCAGAAATCAAAGATTTTTTTTTTAAATTTGCAAAATACTCCGAGTGCATAAGCTTACCTAGGATGTGAACTTAATGTGTGTGTAATCTTGACAACACTCTTGGCTTGTAGCCTGCTGCAGTGGTATTTGGTTTGGCCAAGAGGTATCTTGGTGTCAGCATGTGAACCCTATTGTGTGTGAAACCATAGAATATCTCCACTAATTGTGAAAATACATATTACTAGGCCCTGCTAGGGTCAGTGTAAGGGCTATCAAATGTGCATGTTCATATAGTCTGGTTGAGCACCACTGCACACACTGATGGTACTGCACTGCTGCAAAGACAGGGAGCAGGTATCTAAAAAACAAAATTTTTAACAGGAGAAAAAGACGTGGTGAACCTGGTTAGGGTTGTTCAAAGAAATAGTGAAAATAAATGACTGTTAACTAGAGCAAAGTTTGTGTCTGTAGGAACAGCTAAAGGAGAGCAAAGCTAAAATCTCTGAAAGAATAGACCCAAACCCAGAGACTTTATAGTTGAAAGAGAAGCCATACATAGGAGGATGTGAGGTTCTTGGATGGGTTTGAAAGGGCCCTTATTTAAACCCTGCAAAATGTGCAGAAAAAGACATAATATATAACCATCTATTGTTTCTTCTAGTTCTAAATGTGTTTTAAACTGGGGTTTCTGTTTATTTGAATGTTGCATGCTCCTAAGGACTTGAAATGTGATATTGGAGTATCTAAAAGGTTAGAAGCTTGGGGGAAAGGTGTAGTTGGAGTGTTAGCAGTGGTCCTGGAGTGTCTGTGTTACTCCTCGATGAAAATGTGATGTGGTAAGGATGAGAACATAGGCCTAAGAAATGTCCTTATGAAACAGGAAACCTGATTGTTACAACAGCCTAGTGAGACCAAAGGAATCTCAGAAGGAAAAGACTCAGAGAAATTTGGGAGGATAAATTACTGCACTTTCTCCACTAAATGAGATCTTGGGGCAGTTTAAGCAAAAAAAGAACCCGTGCCACTTTCTAAGTTATGTACTTCTCTTTGTTATTTCAGGATTACAGTTAACTATGGTAGATTAAGGGGGAAAACCCCAAAAGATTTCCTTCCCTGTGAAAGCAAAAGTACTTAAACTTGTGCTCAGTGCAGAGCTGCAGTTGTTTCAAGTTTTGTTTCTGCATTGAAGAAAGCAGTGTCTGTGGGTGCCACTGAGGGCAGGAACAGTTATCTGGAGCTGGCTCTGGACTTGGTCTATGGGGAAGCACACTCAGTACAGTGACTAATGTCCTGATGAGGGAGCTCGGGCAGAGCTGTGCTGCCATTGAACATTTATTTCAAGCTGTGTTTTCATGAAGAGTTTTGTTTAGAAAATACCTTAATAGCTTTGTGTTTATTGAGTAATGGTGACACAAATATCTGTTCCAGGAAAAGCTCACTGGGATTAACTAAGTAATTGGAATGGCAGAAAATGTCTTTTCTTTCTGACTTGGCATGGGAGGACAGTGACTTTGCTGAGAATTTTCTTCCTTCTGATTCTAATGCAAGCTGTGATCTTTAATTTTTCAGCTAGCAAAGAACAACTAAGTGAAGACAGGCACTACTGGGAAGTGTACAGATATCCATGGTTCACGGACCTCGGTTCAGTCATAATGCTAACCTGACATATGTCAATTTGCAGAAAATTTCCCAATTGGTGGCTGAGGAAGCGAGGAAAGGAGGCAACTGTCTATGAAATAACGTTGTGAGTTGGATTGCTGTGAATCTCCATCTCTTGTGCTGCTGCTGTTGTATATACACATCACTATGCAAACAAGTGAAATTACACTTGTTTGTGTAATTTCTTGATTATTTGTATTTCTCTTGGTAGAAGAGAAAGCAAAAAAAAAAGCCTCTGGTGTAACGATTTAGAGAAAATAAATGACAAGCAAGAAAACCATATTGTGTCTTAAAAGTGATATTTTCCTGTTATAAAGCTCCAATATTAATTACATAGCAGGCATGAGAAGGGAAAAAAGGGATGATAGAAAATCAGAAGTGCCTGCAAATCAGGGTCACTTGGGAGGCTTTTGTGATTTCCCGTAATGTGACATAAACCACCTATTGTGTTTTTGTTGGGAAATTTGTAGCTGAGGTCAATGTAGCAGGAAATAAAATTTGAGGAAACAGACACAGGGTTTCTGTGCTAGAATGAGAGTTGTGTTCTTTATTGAACCATTCAAGAGGATGGTGTCTGTTCAAATTTACATAAAACAAATGCTAAAATGTATGTTAGACTGTATTCTACCATATTTGCTGCTTCTTATCAGTTTCAATTTGCATTATCAGAAAGCTTGTAATTAGATATAAGCAGCTTTTTTTTTACTTGAACTGATTGGCATGGGTCTCTGGCAGTGGTTTTCCCTCCTCTGCCTGCAATGCTGTGGCTCTGACGCTGTCTTCCCAGTGCAGTTCAGGCTCTGCCATGCTCAGCACAGATGGGGCTGCTGGTGGGGATCTGGCTGGCTCCAACACTGCTGGCTTGGAGGGCAGTCAGCCCCCTCCACATAACTCTGTGCTCAGGTGCATGGCTCTGCTCAGAGCTAGTCTGTAGTCTGACCTGGATTTTCCCTGTGAAAAGCAAGAGCCCCCAGAGATCAGTTTTCCCTTACATGTTCCTCCCCTCATGGACCTTTGCTGGTGGTGATGTATGCAGAGAGCTGAGCATCTACCGGGGTCATGTGTGGTTTGATAAATGTTCAGTGGAGGGAACCCATACAGCAAAGGCCAACAAGGTGGTGTGGTTTCCTAAGGAGCTGAGTTGATGACTGGACCTCAATCATAGGCTGGTGATTTAGCTACTAGGTCAATTCCTCATTAATTTGAACTTATCTAATACTAAAGCTAAAATAAATACTTGAATTTTGTTAGATAATTTTTTGCAACGTTCTGGTCAGAATTAATTAGGTGCTATGAGTAGAGCAACTGAGCCATTAGAAATGATTCACTGCCTTCCTTCCAAAACATGTAAATTAACACATGTTCTGTTTTGCTGATGGAGTGAATTCTGCTTTAGGGAAGTCATGAAGTATGGCTGGTGTAAGTACAGACAAATGCATGATGCTAACTTTCTGTCCAAAACCAGCAGCTTCAGTTAGCTCTTATTTTGAATTGTCTTCCCTCCCCTATGCCAGTCCTGAGTAATAGGGAACATGCGCTGCTGAAAAGCTCAAACCCACAAACCTCCTTCAATAGTGCTTTGCCTCAAATTTCCCCATTCCCCAGCATGACTGAAGGCAGCAATTACGGGGTCACAATCACGTGAACATTAGCAATGAAACATTGGCCTCTTCAGTCTCCAGGATGATGCAAAGACATTAATGATCAGTCTACACCAGCTTACTTATGTTTTCTAGAAAGAGTAGAAAATGGAAGAGAGTTGGTGAATCCAAGGCAATAAATAGTCCCAAGCTTGTGACTTGCTTCACTGCCCTCCTGCCTTCTCCCAGAAAGTAGCCAGGGACTTAAAAAATAAGCCATTGGGCATGCGATAAAAAAAGAAAATAGAATAAAATATGCTATTTTTATAGGGCTATATATGGGCTGGTAGACTGTGCTCAATATATCTGGCTTTGTTCCGGTGTCAGCCATGTATGGTCCACGAGTAACTGCTTAGACATCAGGTTCCTGCCTGTGGAGGACTACCGATGTGTGGGCTTGAAATAGGTGGTGGGCAAGCCCTACCTTGGAGATAAGCCTGGATATTCATAACTCATAGTACAGGAATATTCAGAAAGCTCTCCATGCTGATGGAGATAAATGGAAGCTGTAGGAAAGTGATAGAAAGCAGGGCTCAGACTGCTCTCTGTCGGTGATATTCCTCTTCATGTTTTATTTCCACTTATTTTAAAATTAAGCCATAAATTGAAGGCAGAATTCACATTACACATTCATCTCTGCTTCTGCAGGCCCTAGAGGGACAGCTGGACTACTTCATCAGGATGGAGAGCAGAAGGTTTCTGACCATTGCTGAACTCTTGTGTCTATGTATATGTACTGCTGGAACAGGCAGGTTTTTTTTTTTCTGTTGTTCTGGGATATATCATCTTTTTTTCCCCATACTGCTAACGGTTAACATCCTCAGGTCTTCTTTTGGCAAGATATATAATAGGACCTGGTCCCTGGAGACTTGTGCTTAGGATGCATTTTTGCCCATATTGAAACATAGGGCTGTATAAAAGACCTTTAAAAATTATTTTATTTTAAAAAGAAATCCTTATGACAGCAGGTAATGTGAGGAGAGTAGGGAAGAGAAATGGAAAAATGGCACTGTGAACAAAGGAACATTTTTCTTCCCAAAACCATAGCTATTTATGATAAGTAGATTACCTGGAATAACTTTCTAATCACTGAATCATCACTTAA